TATTAGAATTATATAACCTCAACTTCTTAACAAAAGATACAAATCCCTCTTTGAAATTGATCTTATAATCTCAAAACTTATATTCTAATAAAACCTTCAAATTCTATAAATCTTCAAAAAGTTTAATGAATCTTTTATATTATACTAGAATTTCTTTTTCATCGATTTTATTAATCAATAAAAGATCTATTACTATTATAATATAATATCCAATCTTCTCGAAAATTTATTCCTTCAGATTATATAATTATTCATTATTACAACTACAACAATCAAATATTAAAATATCTCTTATTCAATTGATATTTGAATTATATTTCTTAATCCATAAAATACTAAAAACAATTATATATCTATTTAATAATACTAAATCCATTTTGATCTATTTGATATATTTATCTAATATAATCATCTTAATAATATTGATTTCTTTATATATTTAATTATCAATTCCAGTTTTCTTTTCTTCTAACAATATCAATTAATAAAGATTCTGTTTTAATTCTATAGGAATTCTATTTTCTTTAATAAAATTGAGATCTATAAATATATTTATAATTTCAAAATTAATCAAGATATTTATTTATTGATTTTTTAATTTGATTTCTATAATCAATTATTCAATCCTTATAATATTATTAAATTCTAATAATAATAATTCAATAATTTGTTTTTTAATAAAGAGATTCAATTATTTCTATTAATATTCGCTTATATTCAATAATCAATAAAATATAATAAATAATAATTCTATTAATTCTATTTGAAAATCTCGATAATAATCCCGATTTGATGTTTTTCCATTATTCTTATCAGTTTTTTATTAAATACAATAAATCCCGACTTGTAATAGAATTTCCTATATCTCTTCAACTTCTAAATCATATTTGTTATATTTTTATACTTCATCGAAGAATAAAAAATCTATATTTACAATATATCTTTTATTATTATTTACTTTAGTATTTTCCTTAAATACTATATAATAAATATTATTATATATTATTATATAAAATACTAATAAAATAGAATAATTATAGATTCTATATTTCTCAATAAAATCAAATTTCTTCTCTTTATAATAACATTATATCCGTTTTTTATTTAAATAATTAATTAAATATTATAACTTATTTTCTCAAAGCAAATAATAGAACTCAATTAATTGTTGATCTTCTTTGAATTCCTTAATTAATTCTTTGTTTTTTGATTTGAAATCTTTTGAGGATTCTTTTTTATAATCGATATTGTTTTTAGTACTAATTTTAAAGTTTTGATTATTGATATCTAATTCCTTTAACTATTTAAGATTGAATTAAAATAAATCTTTTTTCAATAATCTTATTTCTTTTAAATTTCCTTTCAAAATCTCTATTTTTCAAAAACCTTATCTTTTGTTTTCAAATCTTATTTGTTTTTTGTTTTTTATAATAAATAGTTTCTTTTTTTGAAAACAATCTTAGAATATATATCTGTTTTTTCTATAAATAAAGTATAAATTATTCTTTTTATATCTTTTCTTTTCGTTAATATTTAAATTATTTAGTTTTATATAATATCATTCAATATCATCTAATTTTATTGGATCGCTAATATTGTAATATTTATTTTAACGATAAAGTTTTTAAAACTTTTTGTTTTCTTGAATAATTCTTTTCTTTTTTATTTGTTATTTATAAAATCGATTATTAATAAAAATAAAGGTTTCGATTAATTTGGAAAGATTAAATAATTTCAAAACTTTTGTTAATTCATCTTTAATAATATCTTTCAATCTTTTATAAAATTGTGATTTTAGATAATCATTATTTTAGATAATATATTCAATATATTGTTGAAATTTGATAGTATAGATTATAATTGATTTAATCTATTTGAATTATTGTAATATTCTTTTAGTTATATAATCAGGATCTATTTCCTTAAATATCCTATCGAATCTTTATCTAAATGATTTATAATTGAAAAATAAATAATGAGTCTCAGATTTCATATTTTCGTTTAATTAATCATTGATAATCTTGATTATTAGATCATTGAAGAATAATTCAATCTAATTAAATATAATTCTTTAAAAAAAGAAAATTAATTATAAAATCCTTTATATAAAAATTAAAAAAAGTTATTTGTTAAAAATATAATAAAGATTAGTTTATATAACAAAAGCTTGATATTTGTTATAATCTTTATAGAATAAATTAAAGATGGATATCTGAATCATTTGTTTATATTCTATAATAATAACAATTTGAACAAAGACCCCGATTGAGTTGAATAGAGATGATTTAGTGGATTATTAATTGAAAGTTATTATACTGTATATAGTTTAACTATAATGGTATTCAAAATGTAACGATTTGGTCGAGGTAGTGATTATCTCAGGTTTTTGTATAATTAGTAGTTGTAAATTAAAACTAATAATTATTGATTATTTATTCGAAAATGAATATATTATTAAATCAATTGAAATATAAATAAACTAATTGATAACTAAATTAAATACAAAGCTCTTAAATTATAAAATTATTCTGATTATATATTAATAAATATAAAGAAACTTTATAAAACTTTAAAACTTCAAAAAGCTCCTAAAGCTTTAAAAGCTTTCGAAGCTTCCAAAACTCCTTATCATATAATTAAAATCAGACTATATATTCAAGCTTACTAAAAATAGAAAGATCACATAAAACAATTATCATACAAATTTGTATACAAATCACCTTGCTTTTCGATAAGGCCTAAGCTCATATAAACACATTGATTATTGCCCCTCAATATATCCTTATCTTAATCGTAAATCATAACAGATCTCTATTTCTCAAAAACCTTATCTTTTATTTCTAAATCTTATTTGTTTTCTATTTTTTACAATAAATGATTTCTTTTTTTGAAAATAATTTTGAAATATATATCTGCTTTTTTTACAAATAAAGTATAAATTATTCTTTTTATATTTTTTCTTTTCATCAATATTTAAATTGTTTGATTTTATATAATATCATTCGATATTATCCAATTCTATTGGATCATCAATATTATAATACTTGTTCTAATGATAAGGTTTTTAGAACTTTCTGTTTTCTTAAATGATTCTTTTTTTTTCTATTCATTGTTTATAGAATCAATTATCAATAAAAATAAAGATTTTGATTAATTTGGAAAGATTAGATAGTTTCGGAGTTCTTATTAGTTTGTTTTTGATAATATCTTTTAATCTTTTATAAAATTGTGATTTTAGATAATTATCATCCTAGATAATATACCTAATGTATTGTTGAAACTTAGTAATATAGATCGTGATTGATCTGGTCTATTTGAATTATTATAATGCTTTTTTAGCTATATAATTAGAATTTACTTTCTCGAATACTTTGTCGAATCTTTGTCTGAACGATTTATAGTTAAGAAATAAACAATGAATCTCAGATTTTATATTTTCGTTTAATTGATTATCAATAATCTTGATTATTAAGTTATTAAAGAATAGTTTAATTTAATTAAATATAATTCCTTGGAAAAAGGAGATCAATTACAAAATCCTTTATATAAGAATCAAGAAAAGTTGTTTATTAAAGATATAATAAAGATCAATTTATACAACAAAAGTTTAATATTTGTTATAATCTTTATAAAATAGATTAAAAATAGATATTTGAATCGTTTGTTTATATTCTATAATAATAGCAATTTGAATAAAGGCCCTGATTAAATTGAATAAAAACGATTCGATAAATTGTTGATTGAAAATCATTATACTATATATAGTTTAATTATAACAATGTTCAAAATATAACAATTTAATCAAAACAATAACTGCTTTAAGTTTTTGTATAATTGATAATTATAAATTAAAACTAATAATCACTAATTATCTATTCGAAGATGAATATATTATTAGATTAATTGGAATATAAATAAATTAATTGATAACTAAATTAAATATGAAACTTCTAAACTATAAAATTATTCTAATTATATATCAATCCATTTTGGGAGCCTTCAAAAGCTTATACTCCTAAGGGCTCCAAAAAACCTACAGGAGCCCACACTCCTGAAGGCTTCATTACATGATTAGGATCAGACCATATGTCCGAGCTTGCTGAAGATGGGGAGACCATACGAAGCGGTTGCCATACAAATTTGTATACAAGTTGCTTTGCTTTTTAACAAGATCAAAGCTCATAGAGACAGGTTGACTGTTACCTCGTGACACTCTATAAAATGATTTCGTGACAACCAGATCGTTATATTTGATTTATTACTTTTATAATATTTACTTTAAATAGTCTTTTAAACAGTTTAAAAATCCTATAACTTTATAATCTATAACAATTATAACTTTACAATAAGTCTAATATTTTATTTTTCAAATACTTTTTTATTTTAATTGTTTTTTTATATTAAAAATAAATAAAATTAATTAAAATTTTAATTTTGAATAATTTATATAATTATTAATAGATTTTTGAAAATTTTTTTTAAAAGTTGATTTTATTAAGATTTATAACTTTAAATTTTATTTATTTTTTATACAAGATTTATATTATTATTTAAAATAACTTTTAATAAAACCTCAAAAATTTAAATCAAAATTTATAAAAATCTTTTAATTAAAATATTTATTTAAAATCTTTATAAAATCTATAAAAAAACTTATAATTTATTATATAATATATGATTTAAAGATGTTCAAAAAATTATAATTTGTTTTAATAATTTTAAAGATTTAAAATTTATATATTAATTTTATATAAATTAAAAGTTATAATTTCTATTTTAATATCTTAATTGATAAAATTATAAAAATAAAAATTTTCAGAATTTATTATTATATAATTTATATATATTAAATATAAAATTTTGAAGAATTATATTTATAAATAAGAAAATTATAAATAATAATTTTTATTATATTTAATAATAAAAAATATTGTAAATTAAAAGTGGCCCGAAAAGAAGATATTACACTTAACTTTAATGAAGAAAATAAAAGTCATTAAACAGTCTAAATTCCAATAATCTTATATCCGTGAATAAAACTTTCTAGGCATCATATAACAATTCAGGGCTTGGGATTCGGGTGAATGATAGATAATAATGAGCTACAACCAATAGTACCCAACAATAGTATTTGCCCTAATCCTTCAATCGCCAACAGTTGAAATGGGAAATTCCTGAATGAGTCCAATAGCAGAAGTGGTGGATTTGCAGTTTGAGGAGTAATTTTTAATGTATAAGTGGTAGGTTTGTTGGAGATAAGTAAGTATGCCTAAATATACCTGGTTCAATGGACAGCAAGCAGGCGAACCGTTTCGGGGTCATATTGATGTTTCGACTCCGTGTTGTTCCCTTGGCTGAAGTCTGCTTTATCAGTCCACGCTCTACCAACATATGTGCAATGAAATGCATTTTGATGCTTTCCGTATCCTAAACCAGTATCAATTGAATTGTTGATACACCAGTTCAATCTTGCATCTTCGTAGTCCAATGCCCGCCGAAAGACGCATCCGCTATCCTGCTGTCGTTTATCGGCTACCCCAAAATCAAACACAACATCACCCGGTTGCGTTCCAGTAGGCACAACGGCGACGCGCCCTGTGCGAAATCGAGCGAATGTCATAGCATAAAAAACATCTTCTCTTAATCCATACTTAATCACCATACGAACTATATTTTCGAGAAATGATGGAGACACTTGTTCGTGGTTTTTAAATCTACGATCAGTAAGGTCTTGTTCCCGCAATTTCTCGTATATTTCAACAAGAATTGAGTAGTTGTGTTGCGGTCTGGGCCACAGGTTTGCTGCCAAAAGACTCAGCCACATAGAACGAAGCATTAGGAAGACACGGATGGGTGGGGAGGAGCTGTCCCATAGGTGCGGATTTCCTGCTTGTATGCGGTTGCAAAATACATTTGCCGTTTTAATGTCATCAATCACCAATTGATTAGTGTGTTCAACGATCTCCCCGTCGTATGCAATTGGCCTCAAGAAAAATGTTAAGACCTCTGGGTAATTCGGGTGAAACAGGGGGTTAATGGGTATGTAACAAAAATTGAGTTCATCCGGTAATGAGATATCCACGAGTTTCATAGGATCCTTAGAAAACGGCCAGCAACGATCTTGAAGGTCATTTTTGTCTAGTGCCCAGTCCGGCACCCAAGAAGGAAGGCCGTGTCTTTGAACATGCGAGGCTTTGGTGGCGGCATGATATAGAATTTGTCTTATTCCGTTCGGGGTGTCGAGGCAAGCACTATGAATAGCCGCATGCGTGTATACTTGTGCTACACTTTCTCTATAATCAATTCGCCTCGTAAGATACCCTGACCCCCAACTGAAAAGTTCTGGCCATTTACGATGTGTTAGTCGTGGCTCTTCAGGAGGAGAATTGCTCGTCACAGCGCCATAACCAAATATCATATCCTTCAAATCGGATGCTTTTGAGCCTCTACGAGATACTAGAGCTTCCATAAGGTCGGCCGGAGTACCTCCAGACCATAAGCTACGATGATACTTCAACCGCCCTTGATTCAAATCCCAGAGTGCTTGGTGCTGTGGTGTAATCCAGCTAGCATATTCGTTCAAAGGGTTGTAGTCCGGAATATCGGGCATAACATCCGAAATCTGGTTCCAAGTACGACCGAACAGAGCTTGGCAAAGAGCCCTCCGAGATACTCGCACTTGGCCAATTTGCACAAACACGTTCTGTGGAAGGACCAGTTCTTGATATACCCAAACTCTATTAAACCATGGGCGTGATAACATATCAAGAGTTGCTTCCTTAAAAGCATCCGATAGTTCAAAGGATTTAAAGGATTTTCCGTATTTGTATGAGCCTGACGTGAACTCTGAAGATTGTTCCCATGCGTATATGAGCTCAAACAAACAATTCGTCAGATTAGATGCGGCTCCAAGGTATATCACAGTCTGTTGAGCAAGAGTATATATTTGCTTCATAAATTCTATTTGGGAAGAGCGCTCTTCGTTCGATTTCTAATTGATGCAAATAGCATCGGCCCATAACCGTAGTGGCCGCTTCTCGTCGCGCAGGTCGTCCAACGCCATCGCGAGGTTTACAGTTACAGCAAGACGGCATCCATTCACACAGATATTTGTGGTATCGTTCGCATTGCCCCAAACGTAGGACAAAGCAGTGTAACTTTCGTAAATATTGGTACAATTGCTTAGTGGTATGTCAATGAGATCGCATCGAATTCGAGATTTGTGTTTGCCTGGATGGAGGATTAGCAATCGAATCCAATCCAATGTTAATTCTGGATGATTGTATTCTGGATTGGTTCTGGAAGGGGTCTGTGACAAAATTCTTCCAAATCATCCAAACGAGGAGTATCCAATTCTGGAAATAGATGCTTGATACTCGAGGCTGCTGGGAACAGCTCTGATGAAGTATTTGATACAATAACAACGTGGACTTACCTCAGATACTAGTAATGCAACAATACAAATGGGCAAGGTAATACGATGCAATTATTGGTCGCACGGAGAAGGAAATCAATCTCAAAAACGGGGGGCTACTCCCTTCATCTCTCTAACCAAACCCCCCATTCCTGGAAATAATTTCCTTCCACCATTCTCTCCCTCCACCCACCTCTGCGTCTCTTCCCATCCCACCCACTCCCAACTTTTACATTTCTCCTTCTCCATCACTCTCGGTCCCTCGCCTTTACCATCCCACACCCCGACCATAAAAATCGACACGAAATGTCTTTTCTCCTCCTTCATCAACAAATTCCCACAATGCCAAAATTTTAAACCATCCACTGGGATATGCAAGCCTGTTTCCTCCAGAACTTCCCTTGATGCACCTTCTTCAAACGTTTCGCCGAATTCTAGATGTCCGCCTGGGAGACCCCATGTGTTGGCTGCGGTCGAATTGATGCGTTCACCAAGAAGATACATGGGGTTTGATGGGGTAGAGCGTGGGTGAGTGGGGTGGAGGATAAACACTCCGATCCCGACGACAGGGCTAGATGCTGTGGTCGATAGTGATTTGAAGGATGGTGAGGCGGGGCGTGTCATGCATGTGTGGATATTGACACTGCTGCTTCGAGTGCATCGAAGCAGTGTGTTGTACGAAGCCTTTCCTAACCTTTCAATCATGATTTCTAGTAAAATCTTACGAGAGATTCTTAAAGTTTTGTTTGGCTCAAGTTTTATGTAGTTTTGCTGTTGTTTTGTTGAGTTGAACACCTGAGAGGAATGGCTTTTTTAGTGTGACACTAAAAATGCCCCACCTCACACCTCACTTCAGACCTCACCTCGATCATACCTCACTCCAACTTCACCAAAAGTCATGCGACAATACTTCGGCTCCTCGACCGGTTCGGCATCACTTGCCGAAATTCTTGAGCTTTACAGAATACCTATTGTTGCGAGTCTCTTCCGAATTGGATTTTTGGTACTTTCGATAGCGTCCAACTCACCAAGGAAAAAATCACTTTGCATTTCCTGGAAACAACTGCGCTTTTTCTTTAAAAAAATTATAACTGGAGTATATAGCCATCTCAAAACGAACAGTCACAGAATTAATTGCAGAAATTCGGTATGGAAGGGGAAGGAGCGAAGCATAAATTCATTCATCTTGATCAGGGTCTGCATTAGTAAAGCGGATCTATCTCACTTCAAGTACTTTCCAAGGTCAGCTGAATGCAAAACAGAGCTGATTAAAGGTTACAGCTGAATGGCTATGTAGCCAATAGACACAACGGAATAGTATATAAACTTTGGAATTATAAGCAGACGTTGCAATTAATCGTACCAATGAGGAATTCGAAGCGAATGGCTCGATATCAACACGACTGAAGAACTAATAGAGATTCAATTCTAAAAATGTATCACTTTTAGTGTAGAATTTGTATCTGTATTTGAAATCATTGTTCTTTTATTATACGACATTGTATCAAAGGGTATTTAGCAAAGACCACGATCTTCTACAAGATTGTGAGTGTGACGTAGGTAGCTGAGGATGAAGTAAAGTAGATACTCCCACTTATCATCCGCTCCTGTATATTCATTGTTAGATTTCGAACGAATATAACTAAATCCGGGTTCAAATTCGGGTCTAGTAGCCGTCCGGATGTCAAGGGGTATGAATTTCACGGGTGTGAGCATGGCAAATCAAACGATGGTAAGATCCTAGACTTTAAATTCTGGTTATTTCTCCTTCGAATAGCGAATGGGAATCTTGCAAGTAATATCCAGCTGATTACATAATACCAATAGACCTCCTCTCCAAACGAACGAGACTCATGAAAACCCTGTCTGCAAAATTTGGTCCTAAATTTGGCTAGTTGCCATACCATAAAGCTTCCGCATGTTTGTCTTAAGCAATTCATTTTCCACTACAGAGTCCCATGCACGTAGCTGAGCGCTCCTCTCAAGTGATCCCTCATCTACCATGAAACCTCGTCTCCTAGCTTCAAGCTCGTCTTGAGCAACTCATCTCCTAATTCACAACCTCTTTGTATCAAAGAAAAAATCCGCGGCAGGAACTCAAAAACATGTGTGCCAGCTTCAACAGCTCGTTCTCGACCAAGGAGTTCCCAACATAGCTCCGAATTGCGAGCTGCAGACTGCCAGCAAAACTTACATTCCCTATCGTGACTGCCTTAAGTTCTACTTGTCGTGTGCTCTTTTTTTCTTATCCCAGGCGCAAAAATAAGTCTTGGAGCAAACTCCACTAGGATGGAAGCATCAAAGTAGCATATAGAACCGGGGCAAAAAGCAGATACAAGGTTCAAACGATATTGAGAAAAAGGATTAAAAGGCGTGATACAAGTGTGGGACACGATCATGAGTATATGCATTCGAATGCACTTTTTGGATCACGAAGTTGTGAAGAGATTTATTGCCCGACCTTCGACATTAGTTTGGCGATAGGTTTTGGGTGCGTCGAACTTTCAGACGTGTTGAGTGATGAAAAAGTCATTATCTGATCGATAATTAATGAAAGACATCGAAAAGCGACTAATTCAACACATAATTTACATTCGATTCGGAAATAGTGGGCCAGATTCGAAGATTCTATAAACTCAGCCCTAATATTATTGCTGAAGAAAAAATCACCTCTTTCATTAGATAGGTGATGGATTCAAGTAATTCACTACTAAGCTTTTATCATCCTGATCATATTATGTGCAACTAATTGGCTAATTAATCAAAAATTCAACTATCCCCCACTGCTCCATTAGACTTAATCACTTGTACAAGAGTCAAAGTTGATTTGTATTATGTTCGATTATTAAATTTGAAATTAAAAATTCCCCGCCTGTACCTTCCACCATGCCATATCCATACCCACCAATATCATACCAATACCGCAAGACCATGCCATAGCATACCAAATTTTGCATATACGTAACCCGCCATTCCAAATCCCAAAATACGCGCAATGCCAAAATCCAAGGGGAAAAAAGAGAAAACAACAACATGACCGGCGAGACCCAGGCCAGATGGGCATTGTGATCATCCATCATTAAATACAATTTAGTTCCTCCCCTTTTTGACTTTCCTAGTTCATACATACCTATCATCATGCACAATACCCACCGCATTAACCACTCCCACCAAACCTACCCATAGATAGCCTCATTTACCATCCCATAACACCCTGACCCTGCCCATTAACATCAAAAATCGCATTTTTCCAACCCGCATTCTCACCCTCATCTTCAACAATCTGCTCCGCATCTCTGCCTTCCCTTTCCCAAACCTTCACCACACTACCTGGAGCATAAACCCCCTTGAACACATTCCCTTTACTCTTTGCTCCACCCTGAACTCCCACGTTCACATACAAATCAGGGTCTTCTTCTGGTGTTAATCTGGTGATTACAGCTTTAATGAATGTTTGAAGATCATCTGGAGATGCGATTCTCGTTGCGCGAAGACGTTCACGGGCATAGAGAAGTTCGCGATTTGCGGCGTGGAAGAAATCGGCGATGGATTTAGCGAGTTGATGTTCGAGGGTCTTGCGAATGATGGGACGGAGGAGAGGTTTGAAGAGCCTAGGTTTGGTTAGCATTTGAATAAAGGAGTAATAGCATTCGAAGATCGACTTACCAAGCCAAACAAGCGAACTTTGATTTGCTGACATCATATGAGAGATGATGAATTTTAACGCGTGTATCCTTTAGAGTGAGAATTTTCTCAAGTTGGTTGTATCCGACATCAACGTCGAATTCGATATCAATACCCCTGTCATCAAGGTGGAAAGAAGCGATACCTTCATCAGCTAAGCGAAGCAAGCCTTTGTGTGCCCTCATCCAAAATCCAACTTCATCTGCTCTTATTGAAAGTCCCTGAATCTTGACCGTTACCATAGAATTTACCTTGGAAAAAGTACGGAATCGAGCTTTCTGAATTAAAAGGTCGTTGTAGGTTTGTATCTTTAGCCGGTAAGGTAGGAAACTGGTCTGATTTATAGTTCTGCCAGGTTCAAGGATTAGATTTTCGAGAAGAAGATCCATCTCTGGGACGGATATTTCAAGACGGGGAATTGGTACGTATTGTATGGCGGAGATGAACATTGGTATCAAGACAGTAGATAGATCGGTAAAGAGTTCGGTATTGGATTGCTTATTGAGCGGGTTGAGGATATTCCATATTTTCAAAGTTGTATTGACCAGTTTGGAGACGTCTTGATCATTCATTACAGAATCGAATGTTATGCGTGCTTGTTTGAGAAGACTATCAATATCTTTTCGAAGTGGAGATTCAGTGCCTACTTCTTTAGACTTCTCCTTCAATTCCTCGAGTTTTTTGTCTGCAGCATCGAAGAAATCTGGATCAGAAAGCATTTGCTGAATCGATTTCGCCAAGTCTCCCATGAGATTTTCGAAGTCGGGATCTTTTTGAGAGTGTTCCATAACTTTATTGAATCGCTTCTCCAGTTCTTTCCAGGCATCCTTGTCACCGAAAGAACTCATTAAAGACCAACCATTCTTCACGGCACGATCGAGTGCTGGGTTAGGTTCGACATCATCTTGAACAGCGCTAATGGACTCATCCACAGCTCTAGAATAAGCTTTAGCATATCGTTGAATTAGAAGACCAATTGTGTTGACTGAATCCGAGTAATCAGTTCGTTTAGTCAAATTCTTAACCGCTTCCTTCAACCGACGTCGTAAAGTTTCTCTTTGCTCTCCGGAAATATTCTCCTTCAGGCTTGTGCTTGCTTGCTTGCCAGCCTTCTTCAATCCGTTGGTAACGACTTCGCCAATCTCACTTGCTTCGGCCTGGAGGTCTTCCTTGGGAATAGGTTCACTTCGTTCTTCTCCTGGTTTCTTCATCGCCTCATTTTCCTCAGGTGATGGCTCGATCTTATTTGCAGCTTCCTCCGCAACATCTGATATTGTCTTTGCCGTATCGGCAAAAACCTGTCGAAAAATGGTATTGAGGTCGGAAAGAAAGATTCGAAAGTCGGAGTTTGTCAAGAGCAGGCTACCAACGGTCTTGATACTTCCGTATGCTGTAATTGGTTAGTTTTGAACGGCTGTAGGATAAATAACACTAACCAGCTGCGGCATCTGCTTTTGCTCTTGTTCTAGTAGCTCTTTCGACGAGATCTGATGTATTGACAGATATTCTTGAATGTATCAAGAACCATATGAAGTCTTGAATCTGATCTCCATCATTTTTATTTCGTAACAACTCAATGAAATCTGTAAGCCATTGCTTCGAGAATTTTAGCAATCTTCTTCCGCTATCTGTCAATTCTGGATTATCTGGATTTAAAACATCGGAAGCCAATAATGTTCTTAAATTGGCTATTGTTTGTTCAGTGGATGGCATATATCCCTTGGATAAAGCTCTAAGCATCTGATATGTGTGTAATTTTTGATGAGCAGACCTCTGCATTGAGGTATCATCCTCATATCGAGGCAACAATGGACGAGTATCATCACCGCCCCTTGACTTTCTCGATCCAAAGCATGAAGACATTTTCAAATAAATTGAAGATGAAGAATTGATGGTGGATCTTTTGATTGACGAGATCTGAGGTCTGGGAATATGGGATTTTGAAGAATAGGGTGATGGTTTAAAGCTGCATATAATGTCGATCAACTCCACTTTTGCTCCATATAATTAGATTTGGTTGCCAATGAATGAAGAGAATTAACATCAATATTGATTACTCGAGTAACATGAGAAACATGATACGATTAATAGAAGTTTTATCTTGTTTTTGGATTGCAGTTAAGAGCTTATTATGTGTCAGAACTTGAGGGGGCAAAGACTCCTTTCCTTGCTTTCATTGCTTTGGCAAGACGCCCTTCTCCTCAGCTAGTAAATTGAAGCTTGGGCCTAGAACGAAGTACGTCATCAATATGGTTGATGTCATGAAAGCTAAGACGGCGGGGACGCTAGGAATATATAAAGTCCGAGCCGATCACGGTATCACGTGGAGATAGGAGAATTTAGCTTAGATAAGACTGCCAGCTAGTTGGTACTAGGCACATCCTTTTGGTGAAATATACACTTACTCACCTAATACACCAGCAAACCCATCGGAATACTCCCCTCACGATAAAGCGCACGATTCACGATTTACGATTCAACTTCAAATAGTCACCCACTCCACTCCACGTCACACAAACGGCTTTCGCGTCATCAATATGGAACAACGAAAGGAAGATATAACTAGAAGGCCATTGTATGGTAGGGCGATCAATCTTTTGCATGCAAGCCCTCAATCTGACTATTTATAGTCTACGATCTTCCACAAGACATTCTGTCGACTTTGGCGCGCAAAGATGATATCAATGACGAAACAAGCCAAGAAGATACCAATTCACCTGCAGATACTACTGAGCGAGTTGTACCAACTAAAACTGGAGAAGGAGTTGGTTCAAAGTCTTGTTCATTATGCGGTGTAAGTTTTCATACTGTGGAAGACCAAAAAAGCCATGTGCGATCGGATTTCCACAACTATAATTTGAAGCAAAAGATTCGAGGGGCAAAAGCTGTCACGGAAATTGAATTCGAAACGTTGGTAGGAGACCTCGACGAAAGTCTTTCAGGGTCCGATTCATCAGATACCGAAGAAGATGAAGATGGAGGTCGCAAGGAAACGACGTTGAGCTCATTACTCAAGAAACAAGCTGTTATATCGTCAAGTAGTAATGAGTTTGATGACAATCCTGGGTTAAGAAAGAGGACGAGAGGATCTGGAAAGGCGCCAATGATATGGTTCACAACACCTACGATGCCGAAGAATACCTATCTTGGGATATATCGAGCGATTTTCACAAATGAAGAACAAGGAAAGGAAACCTCTATGCACGAAATTGTCCAGAAAAAGCAGCTCACTCCGAAACCTCAAATCAAAACATCGGTCAATAGTGAAGGTATTCCATTAGCGGAGTCATACAAAGGTCCTCACATCTTTATGTGCATGATAGGAGGTGGCCATTTCGCTGCCATGATCGTGTCTCTCACCCCTAAACTAGTCAAAACCCCACAGGCGACGACGGGTCTGTTAACCAAAGAAGCCGTCGTACTCGCTCACAAAACTTTTCATCGCTACACCACTCGTCGCAAGCAAGGAGGATCTCAATCTGCGAACGACTCCGCAAAAGGAGCTGCTCATAGTGCTGGATCTAGTCTCCGTCGTTATAACGAACAAGCTCTTACAGATGAAGTACGACAGCTCCTCACATCATGGAAAGGCATGATTGATACATCTGAATTACTTTTCATTCGTGCAACGGGTACTACTAATCGACGTACCTTATTCGGGCCATACGAGGACCAAGTGTTACGACAAAACGATCCTCGAACTCGTGGGTTCCCATTCAGCACGAGAAGAGCAACACAAAACGAACTCATGCGATCCTTCGTTGAGCTCACTCGTGTAAAAGTCCTCGAAGTAGATGAAGAAGCACTAGCAGCCAAGCGTGCCGCCGTCATCTCAGCTCAACAATCGCTCGCCGCGAAAAAAGAAGCGGCCGCAATATTAAAACCTCAACACAACAAACTGTCAGAAGAAGAAGAAACCGCACTTTTACATACATCACAACTTCAATCATTAATTCGTCGCTCAAAACTTCCGGCTCTTTTATCTTACTTTCAAACAAACTCTCTCTCGCCAAACTTCCTTTTCCAACCCGAAGAACAAAATTACCATGCCCCTACATCTCTACATTTAGCCGCGAGTTTAAACTCAAAATTACTAGTCGAGGGCTTAATATTGAAAGGAAACGCAGATCCAACAATCAAAAATGGAGATGGTAAAACCCCTTTTGAATTATGCGGTGATAGAAGTACCCGCGACGCCTTTCGCGTTTGTAGATTCGAACTCCCATCCCCCTCCACATATTCCTGGGACAACTCAAACATCCCACCTCCCATGTCACGAGAAGAAGCCAATAAACGCGAAGCGCGTGAAAAAGAAGAGGAGAATAAAAAGAAACTAGAACAGAAAAAAATAGACGACGAGAGGTTAGCTAAAGAAGAAGCGGAGAGAGAAGCAGAGCGGAAGCTAAAAGGTGATGGGAAGTTTAGTAGTAGAGGTGGAAAGGGGAAGATGGTGGGTGGACTGCTAGGAGCAGGTGTTAAAGCTACAGGACAGGAAAAGAGAGAAGAGGAAATGAGGAATATGACGCCGGAAATGAAGATGAGGGTTGAGAGAGAGAGGAGGGCCAGGGCGGCAGAGGAAAGAATGAAGAGATTAGGTTAGGTTAGGTTAGTTGTGCTAGGGAATTGATATCTTTGAGTTAGTTGATGGTATTTTATTTTATATTCGTTGATATCTATCTTCATGATATCAGTGATAATTATAGAATATTATAAAATTGAAACATAAAGTTATGAATTAAATATAATTAAACTGAAAGGTATATCACACATCGCATCACATATAACCATTCACAAACCCCCTTTCTTCCTCAAAAAATATATTATCATAATACTTACCTACTATTACGCTACTAATCACCAATCACTCACCGAGTACTAAGAACTAAGAACCAAGAACCAAGTATTTACATACCTAGTATGTATGTTTATAATCTCATGTGTGTAATCTTATGTACGTCTGTACGTAATTCTAGGAGCGTAGGTAGGTAGGTAGGGAAGTAAAGGCATCGACTTATAGACGATCTCCCAATTCAATCTATTTATTTCTCAGTTCCATGCATCCATCAATTCAATCTTCAATATTCAATCTGAATCTTAAAAGTATCCTCACTTTCCTTTTCTCAACCCCCATTCCCATCCACATCCACATTCCTTCCTCCAAATCAAATGGAGACTCTTCAAGTTCCTCTTGTATTTATCATCGAGTAGTTGACTACCGAGTACCGTATCCATTCATCCATTACTTAATTTCCTTTCGTTTCTTTTATTCCATTCCATTTCATTTAGTCTCATTTGATCAATGAATGTATGCACAATCAATCTTGATTATCCATCCCCATTTAACACCGAGCATTCGTAACAGTCTTCAAGCCTTGTAGAAATCTCAGGTACGAACCACGCCATGCCACCACTCTATAGACGATTCCATTCAACCCCAAAGCAGAACCACAAAACCGCCCAGTTCAAATCAATTCACCACCACACCACCACAAACGTATAAAAACGCAACCACTCCATATCCCCATCACGACAGCACCACTTCATACCACTTATCTTCGAACCAATTATCGAATCTCGAATCTGGAATCTCGCTCTCAAAGCATGAAATCAGATACCCTACCCAATCCCAAACACTTCTTCGAAACTCATTATCATCACATCATTAATTAGCATGAGTACAAACACCAAAGGCCCATCCACCCAAACCGCGTCGCATAGTAAACCGCAACACTTGATCCTCCATGTCAAAGTGTAGCCGTGTAATGACACCCAACTCCGCGAATTTTCATATCTCCAGGATCCATCCAAACCATTCGCTCGGCTTTGCAAGAAAGGTAATAGTCTAACGAAAGGCTGAAAAAAGGCCGTCTCCCAGTACATCCTGAACTACAATGTAACCTCAACGATACTAATGTTGTATTACATATCCGTACTACCAGGCAATCTGACCAACTTGTGTCCATGATGTTCCTTGGGCGGTAAATGATTGTGACCCACCACCCTACTCATACTCCTATTACCCGTGCCACATTTACTCGCATCGATTAACCTGGTTGGTTCATCGTAACTATCAACTTGACAACACTCGACATTTTTCATCCACCGATTTCTGGCAATATCTCCAATACTAGCCCTGTGTTTTGGATTTGGATTGAGCATAGTAAGGAGTACACGGCGAAGAGCGGGAGGATTAATATGTTTATCAAAGAATGAAACATGCGGGTAGTCCGAATCAGTTATGTTAGCGCCGTCGTGTTTGTCGTTCCATTTGTCCCAACCGCGAACGAGTTCGTCATAGAGGGGTGAGGTGTTAGGCTTGGCTCTTTCCCACAGGCATCCGTTGGCGGTCATGCAAAGCATGACTATGGCGGCACTCCATACATCTAGAGGTCTTGGATCGTATTCACCTAGTGAGTATGTCAATATTGGTGATGATGTAAAGCATAATAAAATATTCACGTACCTTGCTTAGCAAGAACCTCCGGGGCAATATATGGAGGGCTACCACAGATACCAGGAGCACAAAGTCTAGTCTCGGTCATATCTTTTCCACATTCACCTCTGGCGGCCCTAAAACCAGGATGAATACCAGCGAAAACTTCGGAAACACCAAAGTCGGTAATTTTAAGCTTGCTATCCTTGGTGATCAACAGGTTCTCAGGTTTGATATCTCGATGCGCAATTCCATTGCTATGAAGAAAGTATATGCCTTGAATGAGTTGCTTGAATAGACATTGACGATCCTTCAAATGGTCTTCCTTGTGGAGGTACTTCTGATTGATGAGACTGAATAGATCTCCTTGCTCACAGTATTCCATCACATGGTTCCACCTGCCATTATGTGTACACAGTCGAAAAGTTTGTACAATGTTTGGATGACGGGCGGCTTTTGCGATTGAATATTCGGATTTGACCTTCTTCTCATAATCCTCTTCTTTTTCCGTTGTAGACTTGCCACGAAATTCTTTCACGGCATAAATATCATTGGTACCATTTCTGACCACCAGTTTCACATGAGCCGTAGCACCTTTACCGACTTGTTTTCCACGGCGTCCTATAAATGTGTTTTGTTGATGATATTCTTCATCCAATTCTACGACGTCGACAAGGAAGTCATCTGGAAGGCTCATACTCAAACGTCTTGATTTTAAACCAATTCCAGTTTCGGCTGGCATTGCCCAAGGGTCTCGCGACATCTCCTTAACCAATGGATCCATGGCAGTAACACTATTTATATCCCAATCAACGCTTGTAGCACGCTGAGGTGCTTTGCTCTGGTCTTCCATTGCTGATGTATCAAAGGTAATCTTTGGTCCATAGTGTTGAAACCTATTCATTAAGCTCATGCTTAGACCCGTCGAAGATCTTTGTTTTTTAGACATTGTGAAGAGTTCGTTCGGTCCTACGCTTGAGATTATGTTTTCTTGTGAAGACTGGGGTTCGGATGGTGTACTAGGTGAAGGTGGTGTGTTCGTACGGGAATTGAACGCTGTGGTGGAAGTTGACGTTCGTCCAATGGACATTCGGCGATGCTCTTTTCCTAACATTGGGTCGGAACCATTATTGTTTGTAAGATTGGTTTGATTTGCAAGATTGGTCTGATCATTTAAGGCGGTTGTGATCAAATTTCCAGTTTGAGAATTCGATCTCTTGAAGAATTTTGAAACTTTACCTCTCAACCCCGAATCTTTTGTAGAAAAGATAGGTCTCTTAGGAAGCGTGAATGAAGTTGGGGCCGAGTCTGCGTTTCGTTGTGATGTAGTAGATGATGCCTTGTTGTTCGATGAAGGTGGAAGAGTTGCAATAGTATTGGCAATTGTAGGAGGTGGAATTGAACCTGGAGGAAGCTTGCGAATGATATCATGAGGAATCTCTCCGCCAGTGAGTATTCTCGTGTTTTGTTGAGGATGTTGAAAATCTGTAGGAGTTACTGGCTCATTAACAGCTTCACTGCTAGTCTCGTACCCATCCTCTTCGGGGATGGAATCGACTTGACGAGAATCTATTGAGGATGGCCGACTCGATTCTGCAGAGGCAGAATTTGATTCGATTGAAGGGATATTATGTGATGCATTCGAGGTATCTTGGAAAATAGAAGATAATGTTGGATGAGAAATTGGTAAAGTAGTTGTCGCCATGGTTGCTATTCTGGGCGAGGTGACACCTTACTTTAGACAAATAAAGAAAGAGTTGGGAAAGTGCGAATGAGGGGGTTTTTGAGATTGAAAATTGAAGTTTGTCCCAGTAGGCCAAGTCGAACTATAAGGTTGGACTTGTGCACTACTAAGCAGTAGCGTAAGAGGAGTAATATGGGTCTTCGTGGATGGAGGGGTGGATCTGCTCCGATCAGTCGGCGTGCTAGTATTCTGCAGGACCGTTTAAAAGTCTGGTAGTAGTAATCATGTAGATCTAGAACGTCTAGTCTGCTTCAATTGTATTGTAGTTGTCTTCGTGAATGGATCTTCTCGACAATGCGAACAATGCGATAGAATTGATTAATTGCTGATTGCCTCCAGGCAAGTGTTAAATATAAGCAGCTATAAGAGAAACATGATGAAAAAAGAAAGAGAATAATCTCTTAGACAGACAGAAAAGCAGTAGTGATGATTGTAGTTTAGTAGCAGTAGTATGTATTGAAAAACTTGAAGGACCGGATTCTTAAAACAGACCAGGATCGGGAGGGGGAGGAGAAGATCTGATAGGGTCTATTAATTGGGAAATGCGAAAACGAGGCTTCATGCACAGAAGGCTTGGTGGAAGAAACAAATAAAAGGAAGTGTGTGGGGTGGAAAATCAATCAAGAAAAATCCCTTCTTACATTTGAACGAATGAAGAGGTTTAAAGTAAAAGTTGGTAAATGCAGAGGAGGAGGAGGATGGTGAAATTTATGAGATTCGTGAGACCTTGATCTGAACTGGATTGGAGAGGGAGAGGCAAAGGCACAGAGCAGCCAAGGATAACTTTGCATGCGCGGTCGCACATAAAAGTAGTTGGGTGATACAAGCAAGAATGCTGCGTTGCGAGCAAAATAGCTTTGGCTTGGTGGGTTGTTGATTCCACTGATTTTGATGGATTGATTGATTGATTGATTGATGTTCGAAATCGGGAAGCTGGATGACTCGCTGACTGGACGGCGATGGCGATGGCGTAGCTTTGGCTCTGGCTTTGGCTCTGGCTTAACTTTCCCCTCCTACTATATTATCACTTCCTGCTTGGTGACAAATTGAGTAAAGTATTGGTACTTGTTTGCACTAGACCATAATTTATGCATATAAAAGACGCAAAGACGTGATTTGATTGTAATTCTACAAGTCAATCTCTTTTTGACTTTTGTTCCTTATACGTCCTATTTCCGAATCAGGAACAAAGAAACCTTCCATGTCGGTAATATGGTGAAATACTATTCATTGAAGAGACAAGAAACCGGCAATTCCATGCCGAGGAATTTGCCCATGAGTGAATGATACATGATGTTTTCCTCCACCGGCTCCTGATGACGGAAGAGTAGCGGATGCATGCATGCAGTCATTTGGATGCAGTAATTAATATAATTGATTTACTTTTATTAATGTTTGATAACTCGTATGGATGAATCGAAATCCAGATCTTTGGAACATTTTCTCGCTTAAGGTTCATTCCATTCCATTCCCAATTCCGCCTCAATTCCATTCTTCAAATAATATCTTATCTCATCTACTCGAGTGTACAACAAAACCAGATGACTACATGTCTCCCTTCCAATTAATTCATAATATCCACCAGATCTCGCGCAATAAGATCTACGACTCTTTCAGCTTTCGATTTCAAAATACTTTTACTCACTCACCGACTACCCAAGTAATTAGAGCTCCCTTCCATAGGCTGGTTACTTTTGCAGGATTTGCCTCGATACTACATTGTATGAGCCAAGCAAAAGTACAACACTTAACAGTACATCCAAATGGTACTTCTCGTTTTCCAGGATTATGTTACAAAGTACTTTCATATTTCGCCGGACGTTGAGTTGTTGAATCGCCAAGACAATAATCTTCGATCAAATCTGCGTCCTAATATGAAAGCCAAGAGAAAAGTAACAGCCGGTATTGCATTATTACGGGACGGACAGCGGATAGAGGGACGCCTTGTATACCTCTGCCAAGACTTCATTTTCATCAAACCGGACATCAGAAATGGAGGGGACGATATTGTCACGAAAAGGTCTTTATCTGCAAATGGATCTGTCCAACAGATAATACACTCACTCACTATCTGAGCTTTAGACAATCGGTCAATCCATCTTCCTGGCAACTGGTTCTTAGCGTTCCTTCTTGAACGGTACCGAGTACATCTAGACCTTTACCACCTAGACAATTGGACCATACGGAGAAATTATCTACTTTAAAAATTATGCCGAGGAAATTTTGTGTGTTGGGTAGAAGGTGTGAGGAACGCTAGAAAATTTAGGGATCATGGAATGTTGCATTTGTCAAAGAAGTACAAGGGCCTTTCATGCATGATGTGCATACAGAAATCTAGCCTTTTGACTTCCGCCGCCATGTCCGAAAATGCTTCTAAGCCCGGATCACCCGAAGAAGAAAACATACTGTTGATCATTTTGATCTCTCGGTTTTGAAAGAGTCACAGGTGCTTCAGAATGCCATGAAAACACAGCAAGTTACTACCGAGCTTACCTGTCAGCCAGTGCATGTACTCTAGGACAAATGGAAAGGTAGTGACCCGGTGGACACGGAACAATATTGTATCCGTTGAACGACCCTTCATAGGGCGGGCGATGCAGGAGTGTGTCCGGCGAGGATGTGGGATGTTGATGATGGGAGTGTTTCTAAGTCTTCCATCAATATATCCTTGAGATATCTTGCTCCTCGTACATCTCAACAAGTCCCTATTCGATTCTAATACATTTAGATTTAGCTAAGAGACCCTGCGCATGAGGCGCGCCATTGTGATACTAGAGCCACTTACTCAACTTTGGAACTCTCTCGATCTTCCTATTATTTTTTTATAAAAACGGGTACAACTCATCCACAACATTAGTGAGTTTTCTCGAAAATCACTCAAATGTAAGCCTCATTTGTTGTCACAACGCGGGACCATCAATTTGTCAAAGTTTGGCGAAACCCGCTTGTCCATATGTATAGTACCATTTAGTACTTCTGCGGAAACCTACAGCTATTTGCAGTCTATGTATTTGGCATGAAAATCACATTTTTGGCGATTATGACATAGTCCCAAGACTGCAGTGCAAGTAGGTCAAAAGGCGTCTTACAAAATCATTCTACATTAAGTGATTAGCATTTTCTCCCTTTTACCCCTTGCGCATACTCTCTACACAACACATGTTTTTGCTAATATAAGAAATTGTAGAAGATTTTGAGGTGTTTTGATCTCACAATACCTACCTACTCACAGTGTACACAAATAATGATCCTTCGGCCCCGAAGTCCCCGTCCCCCGCATTTATGATGGGACGACGGTTGGACATGGGACTGGATAAGGTTAGATGATTATCCAACATCCTTGAATACCGCCGATAGCGTATTAAATATGCACGTACCATGGCGGGGTCAATCAACCACAACCACAACCACAACCCCACCATATACGGTCGGAGGGGACATGGGGAAAAGGGAAAAGGGAAAAGGGAAAAGGGAAAAAGGGAAAAGGGAAAAGGGGAACATCAGGTGAAAAACGTTAACATAGAGATTTAATTTCAAGACCTTTGATGTACAGTACACATACCATACCAACTACGAGATGAGTCGATATGTTTACAGAACGACATTCGATCTTCAAGCTATTTCATTTGATAGATTGGTGACTGTATAACTCGATACTCCGAACACCACGCGCCTTTTCTTATGACTTGTCAGCTTTCATTCCGGAGCAATCATTCAAGCTCGTGGGCATTGGGGCAATTATCTTATCTAGACAATCCTCAAGTTGTTTGGTCGAAGCCTTCGTTTCATTGCAATCTCAATATATTTCAAGTCATTACTTCTGACCACCAATGCCTAGGCTTAGCATCATGACCAAGCACTTGACGCCAGTGTGTCATGTGTAACCACTCTTATGCCAATTTCTTCTTCCGAACCTTGGGAAATTCTTCCAATTTTGGAACAATTAAAGCCGCATTCATCATCTCAAGGCAATTTATCCATTTGATCACAACTCATTCAAAACCCATTAAATTGTTCCGTCCTATATTATTACTTCTTGGCTCTCCTATCAGTTTTCAAACAAGCTTTCTTCCCTAGGAGAATCTAGAGAATTTGAACATTCTAGAATACTGTACCTGCAAGATTCTGCATGAATCCGAATGTAGTCAAATCGTACATGCAGAGGGAAGTTGGGGATCTTATTTTGCTAAACGCGTAATTCTCAACATCACCTAAGACAGAATACGAGTTTTGAATATTGCCGTACTTATACTTATATTAACACTGTACTGATCTTTATCAACCAAAGTCTCAACTCGACAGTCTACAGTAGTTCTTACATTATCAAATGTCCGTACAACATTTCATCTGTACTCGGTTTGAAAGCCTCGTGGGAAAATATCAAGAAGCGGTCAACCGAAGTAACCTTAACCTCGCTAGGAAATCCCTATCTTGAATTCTACGCCGCAAAATGTTTTGCAAGCAAGAACTTTTATATCCAATAAAACCAAAAGGATTACGAATGCCCAGATCTCGCGATGAGGCATTTACGCCGACCGCATTTCCCAAAAAAAAGTTGATCCTGTACGCCATACCTTCCATCTTGACGACTAGGTAATTCATTTTTTAGCCTTCTCACTAATTAGGATACCTTTGGCTGATGGCGGTTATATCCACAAAGCCTATCCGAAATTCCATCTTTCCTGGTAATCGAGATGTATGCATAAACTTTATGCAGGTTTATGTGCAACGTCGCGTGCGTCGACACTTTCGGTGGTGATTTCTGATATCGATCCGGTAATCACCTGTTCTTGTGGTAAAAAAGATATGTATGGTGAAATATTTTGGGAGAACCGCTTTTTAAGTGGTGAAAAGGTGATCCTGAGTTATGTCAGGCTAGAAAAGTTTCGTCAATCTTGAAAACTGTACATTTAGCCCCTATCCGGAATATCAAGTGTGTTCTAGAGGAACCATCAGCATAGAAACTTCCTTTCAATTAGATCATCCGTGATGTAATAGTCCGAGACTAGGCCATTGCAGGATGACCCGTGGGGCTTATTAATGTACCTCGGGTCGTTACTGCATGCTATGTTTAGACTTTCAAATACGATTGCTTCATGTATATGCACCTGTTTCCGTCGTTTACATATATATGTGTGTTATGTTTTGCAGGATGTTATGGGGTTCGTGTAACATTATAAGATGGGTTTGAGGCTTTGAGTTGATTGTGGGGTGGAATAACCAAGGTGGGGATCGGTTGATTCAATCTCTATGTTGTTTGAGTTTCTCTGAGCAGTTCTTACTCCGTCCTGTTTTGGTATTTATATACAGCTGTTTGCGCGCCTGTTTCTACTATGTTCTTATAATTCTTTTGCATATTTCAATACTTGCCATTCATCATACTTTCCATTTAACACAGAGGTTAGTAAACCTTCTACTTTCAACGGAAAGTCTTTTCCTCCCAGGATTCAAGTGGTATTGAAGTCAATTTCTCACTTTCCTCCCATTTTGCAAATATTCACCCACACGTCTGTCTTGGACTTAAGACGAGCATATCTAGACTCCCTCACAGTCATATTTTGTTGCCTGTCTTATGATATGTTCATTAACTTTCACCATGTCAAGGAAGTCAATATGCCTTCAACAACTAATCACGATTTGGTTGCACATCTGAATTTAGATGTTCATTAACTTTTATTTTAAGATTACTTTCCTTACTTTATATCATTCTGCTTTTCCCTCCCTGCAATATCTTTATTAGTGAATAACGAATACTAGATGGCAATATGATATCCAGTTAGTGTTGCTAGTACTTCCATTGAGAAAAGAAGAGATCTATCTATCATCTGTGAACTCAACAACTTTCGCAAAAAGAGGACTATTGTGCTTCAGAATCATCCATTTCATTAGTACAAATGTACTCGAGTAATCAAAATAGTCTATTGAATCTCATTCAGCCCAAACAATCTTTGAACTCTTCCTTCTACTTTTCTAAAATGCATCCAATATCAATCCTTTGAGAGAGAAAAAAGAGATCTGTGAACGCAACCACTCTCGCAAATAAGGGTTATTATGTTTTTGATTCATCCACTCTACCAGTACCCCCAGACTCAAAAGAATTCACTACATCTCACCCTCAAACAATCCACAAACCCTTTCTTCTCTTTCCTTTACTAAAATACATCCATCCATCCATCCATGCATGCATGTATCACCAAATCCACCAAAAACCCTCACCACAAAACCCAACCAAAAGAAAATACATGTCCTCGGTGAGACTCGAACTCACGACCTTTGGATGGCACAGTAATTGTTTATCAACTACCTCACATTTTATACATCAATCCTACATACAGAGACAATAGGAAGAAAGAATATGAGACCAACGCTCTAACCAACTGAGCCACGAAGACGTATAGAGAGGTTTTTTATTTTATTTATGTTGCAGGGGTATTTTGTTTGTGTGTATCAATGAGGATCACTGGTGGATGTGAGGTTTGAGGGCTTGAAGAGATTTTTTTGGGTGGGGATGTGGATGGGATGTTGGACCCACTTGAGGTGGGTGGTAACTTGGTAAGATAGAGTAGAGTTAGTAAGGTTAAATATAAGAAATATAAGATCTTGTAGAATTTTATTTGAAATTTTGTTTATAAGAAAGATGTTGAAATCGATGATAATAAAATAAATAAAATAAATAAAATAAATAAAATAAATAAAATAAATAAAATAAAGTTAAGAAAATAAAAACTTAAAAAAACCCATTAAAGAAATCTATATATTTTATATATATATTAAATATATTAATTTATTAATAAAGATTTTTAAATATTAAATAATCTTATATTATATTAATTAAAACTAAAAACATCTTTTAATTTTTATTTTATAATCTTATAAAAGATAATTATAAAGATAAAAAGAAGATGATATTTCGGCGCATCTATATATAATCAATTCTCAGATTTCTCTCTCCTTCCCAGATTTCTCTTCGAAAACGTCACCTCTGAAAGGTCGGTTTCACAATATTCGCATAATGATATTGGTAATCATATATTTTCCACACCTCTTTTACCTTTTACTCAATAAATATGCTTTTCCTTCCGAATCCCTTTTAAGCTCTGTCCTATATGACTTGCAGCGATACTACTCGCTGCTCTTTCGTTTCTTCTTCTATTCGTGCCGCTGATTCTCTCACTTGCGTTCATACTTCCACCTCCAATTCCGCTTACACTTCCATTCTTACTCCTACACCCACTTCCAATTCCGCTTATACTTCCATTCTTACTTTCACTTCCAATTCCGCTTACACTATCGGCGCTCTTATTCTTCATCATATCTCTCTCACTTTGCCGCTCTCTCTCTCTACTCCTTCTCCCACTAGTAGAGTGTTTCTTACTTTCACTGCTTCCACTACTTCCACTACTTTTACTCTTCCTCATCTCGCTAACCAAACTCGATATCCATGATACCGTATCCCTCTCCCAGGTATCCTTACTACTTTTGCTACTCTTACTAGTCTTACTACTCATACTCCCTAGACAACTTCCACCTCCTCTCTGTCTATCCACCCTCCCAATTTTCCGTTTTCTTAATGCTCTCCTAATAGCTTCTATCGGTTCACATAGATAAAAGATCCCCATATCGTCAAATAATGAAATCCATTCCACATTACATAATTCAAGTAATGGTTTACATAAAAGAAGAATACCGAGATCATCGAGAAGATTGAGGAATGCAAGAGCGATAGGTGGTGGTTGAGTGGAAATGAGTGTGGAAGCTCTTGATACGTTTGCTGGGGAGAAAGTAGAATAAGGAGGAGAAAGAGGGAGACGATTGGGAGCGGAAGGATGAGCGGATGTCAGGCTTATCGTGGAAGGAAATGTGGAGGAAGACCTAAAAAGCGATTTAGGTTTACTGGGTGTATGACGAGTGAAGTGGGATGGACCACGGGAATGGTGGGATTGATGTGGTCGATGTTGAGTTTGATTAGTAAGTTGTGGTTTGCCTAACGAGTCGACATTAATGTTGGTGGTTGGAGAGCGAAGAGTGGATGCCAGTGAGGAACTACGCGTGCAGCTATCATGGGTTTGTGTCCGTGTACGTCGTCTATGTTCATGTTCTGGCTGAAGATAGAATGATGGTGGAGGTGACATGATGCTTGAATGGATTGTCTTGTAAAGTTGTTTCGTTGTTGCGGTGTAAATTGGATTTGAAAAATAGTTGTGATTAAATTAAAAAGATGGCGAAGTGACCATACAATAATTTTAAAAAAAAAAAAGATAAATAAATGTATAATCGAATCAACACAGGCAAGTAAACAAGCTAGCAAACAATCAAGCAAGTAGAAAAGAGTGAAATGAAGAAGAATGAATAAAAATAAATCTACCTATTCAAATGCATGCAAAGTAACAGTCGGGTGAAAACTATTCGATGAAAAAAGAGAGATTCATGGACTTTTGAAACTCGAGAAAGTATATACTACTCCTCGACCGCCTCACTGAAAAATGTAATGTTTCCATCGAAACACTCCATCACTGCTATCTGTCACCCCTTCAAGGAAGAAACAAAAGAGGGACCCAAAAGCAAGACATCGAAGCTCTATTTAGAAGATCATGGAAAACGTAACTATTCACCGTTCGTTTTGTTTGAAATCCCATGTGGCGTATCTCTGCCTAGACAACTGTGGCTTTTTCTCCCAATACCTGGATTCTGTTACTGGCGACTTCGCTGGCAATCTGATCCATCTAGACTTTTCCATTTATGAACATACCCACGTTGTTCACGGGTATGAAAGTAACATTTGTCGCCTCCTTTTATTATCATTTGATAGATTTCTCGTTCATAAAAAGATTTTCTGATCGCACACCGTACCATTGGAACATAAAATATGGGGGTCGAAGAATTTGAAAATGATTGGCGACACGTCTACTCCATATATAGATTGAGGGCGGATAATATCGTGTACCTATCGGCTTTTCTTCCTATCTGGAACGGCCTGCTCTCAGGCATTTATACAGCCTTATGGAGTAAAAAATGGAGAAGAAATGGGGAAAGTCATGGAGACAAACAGGCGAATCTGATTTCTTAAGAAAGAACATGGATGGCTCAAGGGCTTGTGACGTGTTAGGGGGGTGTTTTGGGAATGGTAAGAGAAGCTAAGAGAGCCCTGAAAATCCTTTATGCTTCTTTCGTTCTTTCGTTCTTTCGTTACTTTTAGCTTCAAGGCTTATTAGGTATTGAAGTCGCACGGTCGGGCAAAGCGGAAACAGGATTGACGGATTTATTGTTTGAAAGCGCATGTCTGGAGATGGTAAAAGGGGATCCTCCGGTAGATGTTTATTAGTAAAGTGGCATTCCCATGTAGCATTTGTCTGTCTTGTGATGAGAAGAGGAGGAGAAAGAGAGGGAGGAGAGATGGGGAGATGGGGAGATGGAGTTGGGGAAAGGGACGAAAGGAGAGCAAGGGGGAAGGTACAGGTGAAGGATGAGCAGAAAGAAATGATAAAAAAAAGACAATTTTATGCTAGCTGGTAATGCTAACTGGTACCTGTTTGAGAAAGACCCTGAATTCAAAACAGTTAAATCCACGGATCGGTCCGTTCAAGAATCACGAGCTAACCAATTATATTAACACATTTGATGCAGAACCAACCAAAAGGAGTCCCGGAATAGTCATATTTTATGCAATGACAACATTAGTTGCATATTTCTAGCATTTTTGGAAGGAAGGAATAAATGGCCAGGGGGCTGGAGAGACAGATGGAATTCAATGTATGATGACAACACATCATAATGTGCATGTATATGTAAATGGATGTATGTAATATGTGTCCTAGCTAGACATCAAGCAGGTACGTATGTGTGAAGATATGTACAAGAAGTTGGATATAATTGTTCGATTTCCTTTCACCGATATTTGAAAATGAAAGACACAAGAAGAGCAAGAGTCTTGTGTTCACGTGAAGGAAGGGCTCTGATCTAAAAGCAAGGGAAAAGACAGAAAAAAGAAAAGAAAAAGGTTTTCTTTTTCTTTGTGGACGGGAAGTGGATCGTGCTCTCCGTCATAATTCCTCGGCCGAATTGCCAAAGGGTTAGCTCTAACTCAACCCAGTCGCACCTGAAGATCAGATCAGATCAGCCAGCCAGCCAGCCAGCCAGCCAGCCAGCCAGCCAGTCAGCCAGCACAAAGATTCATTTCATTCATTATCAGCTTGCGACGACCCAATTAGTTCTTATTAACTCACATTACTTACTTTACTTTACTTTACTTTACTTTCCAATAACTAATAACTTATTTGACTCAGAAACTCTCTTCTTTTTCAATTTATGCTCAGATCAAGTCAATCCCACCCCAATCCTCCAATTCATTCATTCATTCATTCATTCATTCATTCATCCATCCATCCCATCCCATCCCATCCCATCCATTTATTCATTCATTCATTCATTCCTTCAAGAGCCTTCAACAAATATATCACTTGAAAATTCTGGGTATGAGTATTAATACCTACTATACCTTCAAAACAACAACCGTTCAGTTACAAACCACACATCCATACATACACACGCACACACACTCATCTCAAAGTCAAGCTCGACTCAATTTCAGCCAACAAATAAGTCAATAAATAATTAAACAACATATATTCCAACATCGAAACCTCCCTCCAAAATTTTACTCATTCTCTCATTCCTTCTGCCACGGGTGCTCTCAATATGGCACATTTAATCCGATTACCACTCTCTCATTCAGGTTCTACTGTCAATTCACCAATGTCCATTCATCATCACCATCTAGGCCAAGGTCCAACCTCCTTTTCCCCTCCACCCACCTCCTCTCCAGGACAATATAAACACCACTCACCTCTCAGCGACATACCGATTTCTCCTCCTCATACTCGATCCGCTTCTGCAGAGAATACTGCCGCCCAATTAGTTGAAGACTTCAGGAGATATTCGCACAAATTAAGGGATCAATATGAGGGGGAGCGAGCCCACATTTTGGCAGACAGACAACGAGCAATAGAAGTCATAGCAGAAGAACGAGAATTATGGGAGAAAGAAAGAGGAATGTTAATTTCTCGAATTCGAGATCTCGAGACCCGACTGATATCCAAAGGAGAGATTTTATCACCCACTGGAGTGTTCAATCTGGATTTAGCAAGTTTTGGCTTTAGTCCAGCAGGAAATATGTTCACCAGTCCAACAGGCGTACCAATCATCAAAGGACCAGCAAAAGCAAATGCATCTCCAGGAGGTAGTGGAAGTTCAGATTCGAAAAAATCATCGCATGGTCACCAAGAAATCAAACAAGAGTCTGGAAGAAATGCCGATGGATCTCCATTTTACGCACCAGCACCACAAAACCCGTCGAGAACATTTTCAACAGAATCAGAGTCACTGAGAGTTGAGGACATTCAAGCGCCAAGACAAACACCAATCCAAGTCATTCAGAAATTAACTCCATCTGATTTTGTTGGATCCTCTCAATATATTTCACCCGAAGTTGCAGAGTCACATCACTATAACGTGCATTGGGAGAAGGATGAGAGTAGCAATGGGGATATTATTGGTGCTGATAGTATAGATATATCACAAATCGCTCCACATCTCGAAGGTGTACCAATCAAAGCCAGCGCTGTGGATCCAGTATTCGTTGCTCAAGTATTAAGTCCGAGATCTGCCAGTCCGAGATTAAGTCCCAACGTTAGACCGCCAGCGAGAGATGTTGGTTTAACACTAGGGAAAGCACATTTGGAATCGGAGAATAAAAGATTAACAATGTATGCTGGCCATACACCTAATCATTCCATCTCACGCTTTTCGGATTTGGTCAAGGAGAACCAAGAGTGCGAAGGGGATGAAACGCCTAGGGGCTTCAGTGGACGTCTCCATCGGGGGTCGCTTGCGCCAATTCCAGATGAGGATGAAAGACTCGTATTGGATGGAATAAAACCAGATGAAGGAGATGATGAAGAACTACACGATCGCCCATTGACGGGTCTCTTAGGCCTTACCAATGTTCTAGCCAGGGATGAAATTTTCCTCGAAGCACTGACGGAGAAATTGGAAGAAGTAAAAAACTCACGACCGGGTAGTAAAGAAACGAGTCCATCTGCGAGCGTAGGTAGTTTGAGCCCCATTTTGGAGATGAAAAGACCGAGGAACAGATCTATTGGTGGTGGGGGTGAAGATGGAAGAGGCATGGAGGGAGAGGATGATGAAGACGAGGATGAGGATGAACCTGTCGAGGTGAAGTTGAAGTTGAAGTCGAGTATAAATTTTGGAAGACCAATGGGTTTTAGATGATTGGCTATCGTTGAATCTATCAATCTTGGCAATCAGTGGTTTTCTTTTTGTCTTTCCTACTGGGCACGCAGACATCCGAATTGATTTGACTACGAAGGACGGGCAAGAGCGCATTTGCATTCACGGACGGTATGATTTAGGAGTGCCGAAATTGGAAATCGCCCCTTTCTCTCCCCGATTTAGCTTTGCACTGGGTTAGGTCGAATCGAGCAAGTATTCGAAATTTGGATGGACAGAAGGCAGGAAAGATTGCATCAAACTCAACTCTCAAACAGCATGATGAAACACCATGGATAGAACATGGACGGGATGGAATGGGACAGGACACATGGTCACAGCGGATAGATAGACGGATGGAAAGATACCCCTTTTACACTTTTAGCCTTTTTTTTCCCTTTACAAGATTTCTTTTGTGTTGTCGTCAGCGGGAACAGATTCGATGGATAGGAATTCCTGCTTTCATATCTACATATCGAATGATAATATGATGCAGTATAGCGTAGCGCAATGGAATGGAATGGATTAATTCGCTACGAAGTGATATGATTTTAATATTGAGATAGATATCCTTCCTAACCCGTCTAGGTGTAGGTGTAGGCATTTGGATATAGATGGAAAAATGGAAAGATAGTATAGCCTCATACCGTATCGTGTCGCATGGCATCCCGTATAGCGATATAGCGAATAGCATTATTAGTATACCTCTTCTTTTTAATATGAAATCTTTTTTCTTCATGCATGTATGGTTCTTTTATCTCATCGTGCCTTGGTTTTGTTAATTACCATGGTTGATGGATTTTATGTGTATGCGATAGAGAAAGAGAGAGGAAGACAGAGGTACTTAATTGAGGGTCACGCCCATTGCATACTAGGTTATCCCCGAGTTTCACTGACTTTGATCTTGATATCAGATTATTATAGTATACTAAGGTACAATCTTAGTTAAAAGTAAGTCCTTTATTTGATCGATTTGTCCTCCATCCTTCATCTTTATCCATGTTCCATCTTTCACCTTTCCTCCATGCCTGATACAGGATTCCAAATGTCATCCATAGATTTTTGGAGCTAGATATCTCCAACTTGTTGCATATCACAAACAGATCGTCCTTCTTCAAGACTTCTGAAATAAAGCCCGTGCGCTCCAGTACTCGTAAACTAAAACGAAATGAAGCGCTTTCATATAAACAAACAACCTCTCATCCCTTTACTCCATCCCAGTCGCGTTCATGCAGCTTTACAATAATTGGCCGGAAAACTCCCCTTCACTCCTCTCAATTCCCCATCCCACCAATCATCTATGCTCTCCGTTTTCTTCGTAACCCTGATCCGATCACCTTCTTTGAAACTCAAATCACCTTCTCCCTGTCCCTCGAAACTGTAAAGCGCTACTACGAAAATTCCGCCATTAGATGAACCGAGACGTTTAGGTGGAGGCGGAGGAGGCTTTTTCTTGCCAATTGCAGAATTAACGGCTAAGCCTTCATTGGTGGAACCTCGTTGGAAATAATCTGGCGAGGGGCCAGCGGGAGTATAGGAGGAATGAGTGGACACAGGAGTTAGATGATTGGAGTAGTCTGCGCCAGGGTTTGGGAGTGGAGGTTCAGAGTAGTCTGTGCTGGCGGCCGTCGGTGGTGAAAACACAGGTACAGTATGTGCCGAAGTAATGCGAGGACGTGAGGCGGAACGAATAGCGGGTGGTCGATCGGGCCTGGGAGACCGAGCTTCGGAATATGTGGTTGACGCGCTGGGGTTTGGGGAAGGGTCTCGATTAGTGCTCATAGACTGATTTGAGGGACGGCGAGAAAACCCATTGCGGACGTTAAGACCAGTTACGGATTTAGCGTTGGTGTTTTCATCGCCAATGTTCATGGGTTGGTGGGTAGCCTTGCCACGGCGTATGCAGTCTATCAGTTCGACTTCCTGTTTTATGGGGAGGTAGGCCTGGTTCCAGACTGCAATTACGTCTTCCATTGGTGGTGGTGGAGAGGGTAGACCCACGTCTTCGCAGTAGTTGTGTAGTGCTGTGTAATATTGGGCGAGGAGAGTATTTTGGATCATTATTTGGGCAGCGAGTAGATGCGGGAGTATCGAGAAAGCTGCAGCAATCACGGGTGGTAGTGTTTCTCGAAGGTGAGCATCCGCATCCTTGAATGCCTAGATACCAATTAGTAGTGAATTCATGCATGATATATGCAAGGCCCTACCTCTGCTGCCCTCCCTTGTTCCTCTTCAGCCTTTGCTAGCGCGGCATTCTCTCGATCAGTTCTCTTCATCTTCGCAGAAGCTTTATTGACCTTGTCTATATATCTCTCCCAATCCAATCTTTTATTCTCTCGTTTCTTAATTGTCTTCCGGATAGGTTGTAAAAAGTCCTTTGCCTCTGTAGCTGGTTTTGTAACCCGAGAATCCATCATCATAACCTCTTCCAGTAAATCTGTTTTCAGTTCCGCATATGTCTCCTTTAATTTTACAGTTCGGCTCATCTGTTGGCGAGGGGTAACTGCTGGATTGTCTCGATGGGCATCGCTGGTGCCTACGATGGGCTGATATAATTCTTCGAAACTGGTTGCTGTGTTCAACTGAGTGGAAAGCATGGATACCCATGCGTCTCTCCATGCTTTGGAAGCTTCAATTATCTAGTTATCTACATCAATAATGCTTCATGTCATGGGTTTGGAATTGTGGCGCGACATGTAGAGACAACTTACCATATTGAGCATCTTATTCGCATCTTCATAGTCGTTCAGAAGTACCGATACTTTTGCAGTATCCCCAGGGCCTTTATTCCTGATTTTACCAATCTGCCGGTGCATAGAATTCATATTGTTGGTGAAAGAAGGTATTAATTAAATCGTAGTTGCTATATGTGCTAGTGCACCACAAGGAGAGAGTTGGAGATGGATGATTCCACGTTGTTGATCCTGGACGATTTAAAAGCCTTTGGTTGAAATGTGAGAGTAGGGACAGCGGTCGATAAATCAATTGATAAGTTCCCAGTATCAAAACATAGCCGAATGGTAGATTAAAGAAAGTTGACCGAGTGTTTCTAAGAATGATTCCGATTCCTGTGAGGGTTTGTGTCGTAGGATTTTATTGAGAAATGCGCAGCACCAAAGATTAGGTTTACCTAGGTATTGAAACCCAAACCGGTTCGCGGGGTTCATAAAAATGGATGAATGGCCTGTGCCTCCTTATAAGTACTAGAAACCAACTTCTAGCACTCTAGACGGATCCAATTACGGTATTTTTACGTTATAATACATGTGGAGGGATTATTCTGCAGAGATATTGATATTGGCAGTTGTCCTCATTAATTTATCTACTCCGTATACTTCAGTCTGTGGATTTTGCTTCTCGTATCTGAGCTTCGAATAGAAATCCCTGCCAGGTTTTAAGAGCACCTTTTATATCTCCTGTTTCAAAGAAGAATGAGCCTCTGTATCGATATCACGTCAGACGTGTCATATCGAACCATGAAACCAACTGACCAACTGTTTGCTAAAGATCCTTCTCTCCTTTACTAGAAGTTATATTGATCAAAATAAACCCATGAACATTCTGCTGACGTCCTCTAAAACAAAATAGAGAAACCGTAACAAATGGACTTGATTCTGAACCATCTAACTATTGCCTTGTCTAGTGGATTAGGGGTTGCCATTACGTAAGCGAACGGGTGTCGATCTTCTTGGTTCGCCAGTTCCTCCAACGACAGGATTTTTAGTATTCTACACCGAAACTTCCCTAATCTGCTCTGATAGGCATGTTGTTATACGATCAGTGATGTAATAATTATGCAACAATAGTTCCAAGATCTAATCTACAACATGGATCACTCCAATGCCTTGAGCGGCATACCTCTACCTTTATATCTTTCTAGAAGTCAAAGTCCCATGGCATATATGTCGTTTGGTTGAATGCAATCCAAATTATTGAATACGGCAGTTTAGATATGTCGTCAGCAGATAATGATTGAGAATAATATAAACACGCTTGTTAGTGTAAGTATGCTTATCGTAGCTTAACCTCGCGCTTATCAGCACGTGAGAGGGCGGGAATCGGCGCGTTGGGTCATCCAAGTTTCGCGTCATGTAAGGAAGGATAACGACGAAATCCAAAATTGACTTCAAGGCAAGGCAATCATTTCCACAAGGATGCCTACTACTTAACGATTCTACCAATACCAGAGTCACATTGGGCATTTCCGATGCCTTGAAGAAGACTGCATATCCCCTTGTCACTATGTCTATGGACGTTCCTCCAGATCAGAATACCGCTCCGGTCCTCGAATTTCGCTGCCTCTATACAGCTGATACTCGTCGAAAACAGAAGCGTTGGCAAGATGGGCGACTCAAATTTCATACTTTCAACAAGCGTGTCATGGTGTTTGACGAAAAAGGAAATTTAGTGGGAGATACACACTGGCGCGAAAAAGCTCCACTTGATGAGGGAGCGGAGTTGGAGTTGGAAAGGAATGGCATATTAGTCGCAGTAACGGAATTCATAGAAAGGAGGGATCAAGATCTCACGGAGCTCATTGATAAACGAGTCAGAGAAAGGGAGGAGCGATTTATTGCAAGAAATGGAGATTCATCACCAGCACGATCCGCAGCATCTGTTATTCGGTCGCAAACTATTGCAGCAGCTCATCTTAAGCCGAAACCACTTAACTCTATACTGGGCACACCTTCTGGTCACTATGGAAAAGCATTTATACCAAATACATCTCCGTTTGAACAACGGCAGATGCTGAATGCTAGCCATGCAAGTGAAAATGACAGTCCCAGGCCTACAAAACGACGTAAGGCAAATGAACCCCAACCAAGCAAAAGTGGCTTCGCGCAGAATCTTATGGGGGCTGCTTTGTCATTCACCCCAACACTATCAAACACTGGAACTATAAGATATGAATCCCTAAAGCTCAAGTCCATTGAACGATTCAAAAGTAATGACAACAGTGAATATGGAGACAGCAACGAAGCTGTCCCATCCAATAGGAAGCAGAGTTTGGTAGTCAACATGGATAGAGACATAGACACCTCTAAGAGTCGAATGCAAGCACGGAAGAGAGAAAAGCCTGAAAAAAGTGGATATGCTAGCAACCTTACTGGCGCATCTCTATCACTTTCTTCTCTTCGCGAGGCTACATCTGGAAATATGTCAATGAACTCATCTGTGCAAAAGAACCAATCAACAACTATCGACGTTTCAGTGGATCCGAGCTCTGATGGAGACGGCCACTTGGCTCTAGTTCCTAGGCCCAGAAGAGCTGCAGGCAAGGAAAAGAAACGCTCAGTCGACTTATCTGACCAGATTTCGCGATCGTCAACTCTGCCATCAGGAATCACGCCCACATCTAAACCAGCAGCAAAAGAGTCAACTAAACTGCAAGAGTCTCAGAACAGAGCCTCGCCACTGAATCAGCTACCGGAAAGACCCCATTCATCTCTACGCATCAGGTCTCGTCCACGGAATAAGATGTTGATGTTTATAGATAAACCCAGCCCAAAATCATCTACATTTGCAATGGAAAATGGGACCAATAGTTCGGTCAACTCAGATTCTTTTATTCTTTCAGCTAAACCATATTCCAGCTCCAAGTCGTATTTGTTGACAACAGAACGAGAGGCAGCCTTAGCTGCAGGGAGAGCATCCTCGCCACTTAGGTCCTCGATTAGTAATGATGCAAAAAATGGTTTGGTTAATGATTATGGCAATAATGAGCCGCACATTTTGGCGTCCCGGAACGATTTAAATCATAGTAACTTTGAAGAGTCGTTCTCCTCCTCGGCAGACATTGGTGTCGATCATCAAACAATAGATGCAATTCTGTCCAGCGACAGGCTGGAGGCCCACAACTCTCTACCCAATGCTGCATCATCGTTGATGGACCAGGGACATTCGGTATATAAACAACGTCGCTCGAGTAACATAGGAGATAGGTCCAGACGCCCTAGATTGGACGATCTTTCAAGCTTGATTGATAAGATTCCACAGAGAGCTGAGGATCATGCGCAAGATCATGGATACCAATTACCCAAACATCTACCCAAGGCGTCAGGAACTACAAAGAAACGAAGTGGTCATGCTGTTGACCCGAACAAGGGCGCCGCGCCAGATTCGGATCCAAAGACTAATGCTTTAGATACGTGGAAAGAATCTAATGTGCGTCCTTTTCTTGCAGAAGGTGGTATGACAGCAGTTTCTGAACCTACCCACAAACCTAACACCAGATCTGTCACTACACCAAATCCCGCGGAAAAGATAACGCCATGCGCCCTCCAACAGATACCGGTAATACCAAAAACTACGCTGCATCCTAATATTGCGGATAAAAGCAAACCCGGAAATTTGGTACCAGAGACTGTGATGATTCCAAAAGCTGGATTTGAGGGTGAAGAAAGTGCTGTTAGCATCATGCAAGGGGTGGGCTCGGATAATATCGAATCAGATAAGCTTTTGGTAGGCATAGCATCTAATGGTTCTACTTTCAATGCAACTGATAGCTTCATGGCTAAACTCATGCCGGCGCCAAATCAACATCGACTGGAAACAGCCTGTATCAAGACGACTTCTAGTCTCGTTTTCCAACCATTGAAATTCCCTCCACCCGCGCAATGTTCTTCTAACAATGTCGAAATTAAGCAGTCATCAAGCTCAATTCCAGACTTTATCCCTGTCGAGCAAAAACGAAGTTATGAGGCCGGCGGGTTTGTGTCAGCAAATCAAATAATAGAGAAAGAGGCACAAAGTCATACTCATGGTCTTTCAACGCTTAGAATAATCAACCCCGCAACTCGTGGAATATCCCTCCAGAAGGCTGCAAAGGAAACTCTGCACGCACTAGTCCCAGCTGTTAATCATATAGGCCCACTCGCGGTGATCTCTCGAGGCGTCGGAAGCGGGGGGGAAGCTATGAACAACACACTAGGAGATTTTGAAAGTGAAAGAGGCGGTAAAGGGCCATGGAGCAGAGAATCATTTGATTTGTTTGGATCATGGAGGCCTCCTGTACAACAGTCATAAACAAATGCATACCCCGTTATCGCTCGCCCGCCAAACTGCTAAGATTTCTGTCTCTCTAACAAGCATAAGGAGCAGCCGCTCAATCGTACGCTATTCAATCATACTGATGTCAAATCTTCGAATTTCAAATGGAATGGCTTTCCTAGAGCTATGAGCTACTATCTAACAGCTACATTCAAGAAACAGCTTTACTGCGGAGATTTGTGACAAGCCGAGGGACTCGCAGAACCTCGTATTACTAGGCGACTTTTGGGCACAGAGCCAGCTTAAAGGGCGTCGATAGGGCGGTGCTACCTCGTTTCAGAAATCGCAAATCGAGTTTTTGTACACAAAATAATTAATTGCTTCGCCACACAAGTTGTCGCCGTCGCCTCTTTCTCCTTGCCATGCTCACCCATATTTGCTTACCTAGGAAGTCAGATTAAGTCTTCGATAGTCTATAGCACAGGACCTAATCTTATTTGAAATTTTACTTGGGAGGATGTTTTATGTATACCAAAATAATCCCAGTTCTCACAACAATGGCACTCATGTCTCGCGCAGCATTATGCAGCTTCTACCAGCCACATCTTCCAGAACTTTTCTTATCTCCACTGCAAATCTCGCTAGGGAACAGAAGAACAAGTACTTTCATCGCCTCTCGTCGCATTGTTTTTCAATCATCGAAATCATTTAAGAGGTCATGTTCGATTGCAATATTGTGTTTTTCGATTGTTAGTGTGGATGTCGTGCAGTTCACCGAAATCCCTGCGACAGGCCGTGGTAGGCTCGTCTAAGTTGAGGGCGCTGGGTAATGTGTGTACCGTGTAGCCTCATGGCTATATAAATATGATAAGGCTCTTCCATCTCTTCTGTTAAAGGCAAGGGGAACTCTCCGTCTGCGAAGTATCTCATATTATTCCATTCACTGTAGAATGACTATTTCATAAAACACAGTTTCCACGGGGGGTATTTCAACTTTTTAGCTTTCAGCCTTACTTTGACTCGACAATTACCACCCACTCATCTAGAGGTACAACCAACTTGTCAAAAATATTTACGCCGGACTAGGCCACCAAAATGTTTCCTCGGCGGCAAAAACATCCGCGGCCACCTCGATCTAGGCCTCGATCTAGGCCTCGATTTCATCAGCAAGGTTTATCCATAGGGCCTCATCATAGCCCTTCATTGTCACGCCAAACATCGTCTTCCTCTTCGTCCCAACGCGCCGCCGATGTCATAAAGAAACCTATTCCTCCAGACAAAGTCCAGCATGCTTCAAAGTTATATAGCGAGTTCCGTATGAAGGAAGGACTGGCGCAACGATCCCCGGACCCAAATGCAACATCCCCCCGTAGTATTGAATCATTTAGTATTTCTGGCCTACCTGGACCTCTCACCAATGGATCTCAATCATCCCAGGCCAAAACTGTGCAGTCATTTGATGCAACTCCATCGGATTGGTCTTCAGTAATGTCATTTGATCCTGATAGTCAATATTCGGGGCAGTCTGGGCAAAACAGGGCAGTCTCTTATCAAGGCCACTCAGTAGCACAGCGGACTAGGAGGAAGTTTGACCCTGTGTCTAGAGCTAAGACAGCTTTGATTCGATATCTAGGAGCTTGCCAAAGTTGTAAAGATCGGAGTGTCCCGGTATGTGGTCGAGCCTACCATTGTTGATTGCTTTGCCTAACTTGTTTCTCCTAGTGTCCCTTGGAACATCATGAAATTGAAAGTCTAGTCCATGCCCACCAATCAAGTTCTATCACACAAGAAACCGACTCACAGTACTATAATGCGACCTCTCCTACATACGAACTAGAGATTTCAAACACCCCCTCTGGACAAGCTACACCGATCACTTCGCACGGGGGATATGTGCTGCAGGGGGTTGGTGGGAACTTTTTTGGCGTCGCACCGGAAATTCCCTGCGATCGCGAATCAATCCTTTCACTCGTAGATATGGAATCTAGTCACGACCAAATTCTTTGCGGACCGTCTGCCTCAATAGATGTCCAGGCTCGCGCCGCGGCTCATTATTCTCTTGTTCAAAACGGCGGCCAATTTCCTCTTGGTGTCTGGGTTGATTCGATATTCAAATGCTACTATCTTGATGGCGAATGTCAGCAGTATTTCATGGACGAAGAAGCTCTACAAGCACACTTTGAGACTGCTCACTTCGAGTTCAATCGCATTAATCCATGCCGTCGATATATTTGCACTCAATGCTGCTCTGTGAATGCTCCTTTCTGTAATTGCGGTGGCACAGTCAAACTGTTCATCTGTGGAAACTACATCCGGAGTGCACAGCTTCCACCCGAGCCGCCGACTAGACAACGTAATTTTTATACTAAGTTTGATACATCATCGATATTTTCAGACCCGTCTTATGCATATTCGGATTCTGAGCAAGGGCTTGGCTTAAATGTCAACGAGGCTCAGGATTTCGGCGATGGCGTTGGCACCGTTCTTTACGGAGATGGTAGTAGCATTTACCCGGGTCCTGGTGTTGGTATACTCGGTGCCTATACCTATGATTCTACGCAACCAGGAGGGAATAGATATAACAGAAATGTGTGGATGTCCACCCAAAGACCAAACAAAGATGCTGTAATTCCTATACACCATCGTGCGGTGAAGTTCGGACATGCCTCGAAGCAACAAAAGATCTCGATTTTTATACTACTATCCTTGATGCTTATACTTACTGGCACACAACTAGTCCATTGGATCATATCTACCATTTCGAAAATCGATAAATTCCTGCCTAGTATCTCAACTCTGGGATTCATAGGTTTTCTAGTATCTTTCGCTACAACTTGGGCTACGAGACATATTCATTCAATCCATAAAGCGAAGAAGTATAAAGTGGTAAGTTCTGATGATGTTCCCTTTGGCTCAAGGAAGAAAGCTCTGACGATAGTCGTGTCCATAGCATCGATGTCCTCTTCATGCATTTACGCCTCTAGCAGATCAATACGGACAGAGGGTACCCCCTATCTTGATGCAAAGGAGAGATTAATGATTTTATGAATCACGTAACCATGAATCTCATGCCGCAACGTATAACAACCACCATCTAACGAGTAATGGACATTACGATAATGATCGACTCGGCAACCATAACACAATCTCGCGAGCCGAAGAGAAAAAGAATAACAAAATACAGAGCCCGAAAGAATATTCATTGCCGAATATGAATTGAGGCATTGAATGGTGGGTGGTACGCGGCACACTCGATTTAGAATCCGGCTTTCTTCTCTCAGTGACGAGACAACCACACATATCCCTTTCGCATTATGGATTTCTTTCGTTTTATGATATCGCATTTAGTATAGGATAGAACGGGCGTAGATCGTCCTTTCCCTTCGTAGTTTTGTGTTGGTTTGGATGTATCAGGCTCAAACACAACACACTGACAAAAATTACCTGAATTTATCTTCTCCTTGTTCCTTTTTGCTCACGTTTGGGGGTATTATTGCGATAGCGTACTGGCACATGGATAGGGAACAGTGTCAATTTTGCTTTTTCCTTTTTTCTTTAACAAGGTGTGTGAAATAAGGACGCGACATGAAGGATGATGAATGAACCAATTTGATTGCAGAGTACTATGCTAAGTGTACGAGGAGTCACGACAGCGATGAGATTATAGTTAGTATTATTGAGGGTATTCCAGCGCCTGCAAGACGACCATGATATTATCTAGTGCAGTCACCGTGATATTAATTGGCGTCTCTCTATGACTCAGTCGTCTACTGTCGTGTTAAAGTTAGCGGGGATTGGCATGAGTGACTATTTTCTCACCCCAAATTTCTTGCAGCTCCGCCGAATCATGCATTAGTGGTAATCTTCTTGATAATCAGCTTAATTTGAATCTCCAATTCCAATTTGCTTGCTTTGAAATACGATCCATCTGTTAAACCGTGATCCAGCTACTGGAATCTTCTGGATTTACGCACGAAGTACTCGTGTAACACGTGATTACGAATCCAGAATACCCCGCAATGCAGCGGTGAGACATCTGATTAACAGATTACAAATTCAAAGGTCTTACTTGCTTTCCCGGCCCGATATTGCATCTGCAGCCGCGAAAAAAAATGGGCGAATATGTGTTCATTCTCTGGTCGGATTGGTAATGGTTTCAAAACTATGGAGGAAGGCGGAATCTTGGGAATACTCCGCAGGTGTGTGAGTCCGAACCGGACATTCATTTGTGTGGGAATGGATACTTGTTGTACCTCTGTTGGACACCAACCCACTTTGAGATCCATAAATAGGAAAGAGCAACCTCATCTACCCCTCCTTCGACAATATATAACTTCCGTGAATCTTATACTTTTCTCTCTTCATCTCTACAAAGCATCTTTCTAAAGACAACAAAGCACAGAACCTCTTCAAATATCCACCCATAAAAGTACATTTATCTATCCGTCCAAAATGTCTCTTACACTCTACGACGTCTCAGTTCCCGTCTTCGTCAAAAACCTCAAATCTTTATCAAGTCGGTCTCACCTGTTCATCAATTTCACAAATTGTTTGTTGCATATTTATTAACACTATCTTCTTAGAACTCCTCGCAAAAGGACAAGCACATTTTGAGAAAGATGAATCAAAAATCATCCATGCGAGATTGGTTGATGATATGGGAGATTTGATCTTCCAGATCCAACGTGTCGCTGATACGGCCAAGGGATTGGCTGTTCGGGTTGGTGGTGCTGAGGATGTTACCTTGGAGGATAACGAGACGGATGTGAGTTTGGTGTTTTGTTCTCTTTTTTTTTTTTTTGGAGATGACGATTGGGGGAAAAAACGGTGTGAAAGAAGATTATTCATCCAGTGGTGAATATATTAGACTGGAAAGTAGTAGGATATTAGAATATCCGCTTTTAGTGAAAATTCGAGACTCAGGTTAGAAGAGCTTGACACAACTGCGATCGCCATCTGAAGCTCCGTTTTCCTTCTGTGTTTTATTCTCCCCAATCTTGACTTTCCCAGAAAGTCTTGGCAAATAGTAAATCACCACGCTGACACCCCTCACAGTTTGCAGGTATCTACAAGCGCATCAACCGCGTAATCGAGATTCTTGAATCCCTTCCCTCCACCTGTACGGATGGCAAGGAAGACGCAGAAATAGTGATGAAGGCCGGAGGCCACGAACTAAAATTCACCGGCAAGCAATATGTTCTGGATTTCGCCATTCCTAACTTTTTCTTCCATGTCGTTACTGCTTATAATATTTTGAGGTATGTCTTGATATTCCTTATGTCTCATGAGAAGTGTTTTCAATATTCCCTCCGAGCTGCAGCCCGGTCACATTCAGAATATTTGAGTACTGGAAGCCGATGAGCTATTCAAAAAGTTCGAGATAATGTATTTGGTTTTGAATGCTGGATTATTTTCAAATGTTGAAAGCTCACATTGAGTCTGCCAAATGGCCGAAGACATGCGGAGGACTTCCGATCCAGAGAAATGAAATATGTGCTAACTCGACTGTCTTTACAGAAAGGAAGGTGTAGCCGTCGGAAAGGGAGATTTCCTCGGAAGAACCTAATTTGGGATGCGAAATTAGGAGACATGTGAAAGAGAAAAGAAGTTTTACCATCGCAATGAAGGTTTTGGTAAACTCCACTCAGTAGCCTAGATTTCGGCCACATTACCAATGAAAAATAAATCCTCATGTTCATTGCCTTCTTTTTTCTTTTTCTCTTTAAATGTGATATCTTCTTAAAATGCTACTAAAGTTCTTTACCTCTCCTCACTATACATCTTACTACACAAGTGTTGGGTCTCCGGCAACACATTCTTGGTTTCAGAATTCCATATTCATATTTATCATTAATGAGTACATGACTTAAACCCGAGAAAGGAAATCATGATTAATTGCTATCCAGATCGGATATCCCAAAGGAGGAGAGACGAAGGAATAGCAAAAGAATATATTGTAAAAGTGGTAGGTCGAGATACGTGCGTCTCGATAGCATACTGTGAGAAGGAATTGGAAGAAAAAGCTGAATTAGATAACATTGTAATATATTACTTATAGAGAAAACGGGGTTCACAATGGTTTTAAGATTGATATTATATAAATTCAAATGTATATATATAGAAGATTGATTGTTGTGGAAAGGAAAAATAAAAGTTCTCTTTTTATATTTAATTACAATAGATCATATGATTGACTAGTTAAAAACCTTTATGTATCTGGCTTATACTTCCAACTTTCTCACAATATATCTCAATATCTTGATAAGAATTACCTCATCACAACCGGAAATCTTATAATTGTCAATTTGTTATTCAATCCCACTTTATGGGAAGATATCGTGCCGTCCTTAATATTACGCTAGATTATATATCTTGGTCTATACCATCTCCACTCGACCATACTTCTATCCAAGGTCCTGTCCCCCTACGTGATTTTACACCTTTATGCTCTCCTGTTCTCTAAAGGGGAAGAAGAAGAAAATATCAGAATATGGCCGATTGGTTCAATTAATATCTGTTTTTCACTTAATGCAATAAATTGGTGTTTTTGCTATTCTGATAAATTGCGGCGATTGAATGGTATTTGGAGGATGGAGCGTCGAGGAGGGAATTATGCATCAAGTGCTCGAGAACTTTTGGGGATGGCAAGAGGGATTTTTTTTCTTCTTGGAAATAATTGAATAATGAGGGCAAGGTGTCTGATCTGGTCGAATATTTCTCAGCATTAAGGTTGTATGAAAAGAAATTGAACGATGAGTGTAAAAATGTATAGATTTGTCAATATTTAATCCATGAACCATGGGGTAAGATTCTTCCTTGGGTGATAAATTGGAGGTGAAATCATCCATGAATTACAATATTCTATAAAGTCGTGAAAACTGTGGACTCATACCATCGTGCTTCTTGTGCATATAATGAATATCTTTTGCTCGTCCTCGGTCTTTCTTCTTCTTCAATATCACATCTCCATCAATGATACATCTTCATCAACGATACACCTTTATAAACAACGCTAGATTATCATCAAGTGATATCAAATAAATCATCGAACCCAAAACTTCCTCGAGAACAAGAAACAAGCCATCATGTCTTGGATTATTGATATCTCGCCGCTCCACAGCCAGTATGTCAACGACTTATCATTACAGGGACGCAAGAGCGACGGCTAATGTGTGCGTGTTGTTTATTAGTAAGCCAACCAAACTAATCGCCGTCTGGAAGCTCCAAAAGTACAATCTCACAGAACGTGAGCTCCATCCCATTGCTTTAGAGGCTCCCGACGTTAAAACCACTGAAGAAAAGCTCTCCAAACTTGTCGACTGGATGCAGGCTCCTATGCCTAACGCACTTTGTTTTTTCTCTGGCCCACCACCCTCTGACCCACCCGGGTCGGCACCCATTCTATCAACGCATACCAGTGATGCTACGAAGCGCATTACATACGGGTGTATCTCATATGGTCGGCGTCTTGTATGCTGTCTCTCGGATTTTCTCGACGAAAAGCAGCCAATAACTGGAGTCATCCGTTTTCTGGTAGCACAATTGTTGCGGATATATGCTGGGGAGCTCGGAAAGAAGTTTAGGAGCGAGGAATTTTCTGATATCTAGACCCATGGTGGGACTATGAGAAGTGGAGTACGGTTTATTCGTGAATTGATGGGGTTCCTGGATGTGAAGAAAGCAAGATTTCTTGTCATTATTCACGATTTTCACTACCTTCATGGTTCCCAAAGCAACCATAAAAAAGACAAGGTTTGGGAAGACCTTTTCAAAGCTCTACACTGTCACCAAGCTTGCGATCCGAACGAAAGTAAAGCTCGTTCGAAGGTATTCATTAGAAGCTCGGGTAGCGAGGATGTTCTCCAGAAACTGGGGTACTCAGGAGTGATGGTGGGAGCTGACAATTTTAGTAGAAATTTTCCATATGATGATTTAGTGGAAGTGATAAGGAAGAGTTAAATATGCCTGGAATGTTATTTTAGGAGGTCCCGATATGGATACTACGTATATACGGAAGAAAGGAAGGATGGCTCATAATATGGCTACAGATACGGTAGATCCGTGTGTCTCAAGAAGCAGTTGACTAGTACACATCGATAGCAAATAAATGGCGTTATTTTCCTAAAATTTATTCCAAATTGCACTTAAGTGACTTGACTACTCAGTTTGTAACAAAACCACTTGGCCTCATCTCACATCAAAGTCTATACCCATGTCTACAACAATGCGAGAAGCTCAACCAAGCCCAAGCCGATGTAGTATCACTCGAAACATTCCCAAAGCACAAATATTAGCCCAATCACTCAGATGAACCAATTTGACCTTACGGAGTAATCATCTTCCAAACACGAAAGGTCAACGACAGAAAAATCAACATACTCACACAAACCAAATACACAAACCTAACCCCCAAGCCCTCAAACCGGACCAGCCCACCACCATCCTTAAAACTCAACAGTCAGACTCCAAAATAAAAAGAAAAACACCATTCCGTGTACAACTCAACTCACACCGACTTCATACCTCCAACATACACTTATACAAATAACATATTCCAACCGAGAATATGGATGGAGTATTATGTTAAGAGATACGATTGCGCGAAGCTGTTGAAAAGATAGTTGAAGTTGGTGAGTTGTATTCTGGATGTTGATTTTGATGTTTTAGTTTGAGGACGTCGGACGCCTTCAGTTCCATGAGGTGTTGATGCACGGACCAAGGGACCAGGGGACGTTCTAACTTAAGTACACAACAACAACCCCTCAAAAAGAGAATGGGATGATTTTATTAGCAATCCAAATCTATATTCCGTTGTACTTCAATAAAGCTGGAAGCCCCTTCACATTCCAGTTCAATAGGACAATGTGTATTATTAGTTATATATTTTCATAATTATTACAATCGTCTAATAGTATGTCTATGCAATGTATCATTCCAGCATTCATCTTGGTTTAAGATATCCTCATCCCAAACATCAAGTCCAGTGCTGTAGTAAAAGAAAAACTCCAAGCACATATACATCTTGCATATAACTCATAATCTGGACGAAAAGATGACAATCGCGTCAGTCCAAGACCACTCCACCCTTCGTCTCAAAACGCCCAAAAGTTAAGCCAAAGGCTTCCTAGCAACCATCAAATACATAGGTGTGAACAAATCCTCCTTAGCACCTTCAACCAAACAATCAGCAGCCACAGCTAATGAATCAGCTGTCTTTTGTGTTCCTTGTGGTGCCAATTTCAAATACTCCAAAGCACCAACAAATTTGTGTACTATTCCTCTACCAGTCTTGGTCATACGAGCAATAGTGAAGAAATCTCCAATGGTACCCATATGTTTGAAGTCACCAGCCAAGGGATAATACCAGGGAGTAGCATCTGGCCTCTTGGCCAAATCCTCGTGGAGTACGAGTTCGAAACCAGCGGCTTTGATGGCGGCGATACCCTCGGAAATCTTGACCATATTTGAAATTCCGTCACCCAGCTCGATACCGAGACGAATGTTACGGTGATGCTCGTTGTCATTATCGTAGTTATCAGTCATGAGCCACTCATAGACACCGAAGGTTCCACCTGGCTTGAGAACCCTGAAAATTTGGGAGTAGACACCCTCGAGGGATGGTGCGTGAACAGTAGCTTCAATTGCGTAGACAGCATCGAAGGAGTTTTCTGGAAAAGACATTTGCTAAAATATTATTAGTGATGATCTAAAATTCAAGGTGGGTACCGATGGAGATGTCCAAAGCCTTTATCAGTGCACATGGTGTTAATTGTCTCATGGCTTGAGCTCCAAGCTCTGAAGTAGCAAATACTTTAAAAATGCGTGACATCATGTAGACTCTGCATTTCTCCATCTTATGAATTTGTGTAAAAGACAAGCAACATACCATGAAATCTCCTTTAACAAACTTCAATTGATCAGCCATACCCTCCTTTTGCGCATATCGAGTTGCACGTTGAATTTGGTAATCATTGTTATTCAACCCAGTAATGTGTGCTCCAGTGAATTTAGCAATCTCTCTCGCCGGTCCACCGACACCACATCCAACATCGAGAACCTTGTCGCCATCCTTGATACCAATCTTGGCGGCGAGGTAATGTTCATGACGGGCAATGGCTTGATAGAAAGGTTCACCGTATGCGAAACGACAGAAATGGAAAGATTGTCCCCATCCGTATTCGTAAAGATCGGTCGCGAGATTGTAGTAACTATGAAGATATTAGAATTGGATCTTGTTTGCAATTGACGCGTAAACTTACTGTCTTGTCAAAGTAGCATATTCAGCGACTCTTGCATCTCTATCCTCTTTGGTTTCATCCTTAGCAGTCTTGTTGTCAAAATGCTTGAAGTATTCATCAACAGCAGCTTTTTGAGCTGAGGAATCCTTCCCCATCATAGCACGGAAACCACCCTCAGAATTGGCGGAATCCTTATGCATTGCTTTGTTGAAAGCGGCATCGCGGGAGTGATCCTCATTCTCAAGTCTGGTTGTAGCCATTGTAAAAGTTGTTCAATTCGTGAATTAGAAGATTTATTACTTTAAAGAAAGATGAATTCGAGTTGATCGAATGTAAAGGAACTGAATTAAAGTGAAGTAAATTTGAATAGATGAAGCTGTGAGTTACTGAGGAAAGGGGAATTTCTCAAAGATATTTATCAACACCATTGAAATTATGGCCAGGTAATTTGGCTACCCCTGGTTGTTTGGCGAATCGTATTCGTGTGCTAGTCCCAAATGAATATTTGAAAGGGGACTCAAGCCTCCGGTTGGTCAAGGGACTGAACCCATGAATGGGGAATTTTCGATAGGCTGCGGGACAGCAAATTGTGCAGATTAGCCTTGAAAGGCTGGGTATTTAATCGTTGGCATCTTCACATGTAAGGTTACGGAGTAGGTACAGTGTAGTGAAAAAAGGAACGGTGAATGAAGGATGAAAACGATGGTTTTAACTATAGTGGACTGACTGATCTGGGAGTTTCGCAAAGTACTCATCTGAAGATTGAGCATTGAACAGTCTAAAGAGACCTACAGGAATTTAGAAAAGCTGGAGGATCAATTGCATTTTGCTAGGTACGAAAAGGCAATAGCCAATTGATAAGTTTGATTTGTGAGGCTAGATCTATCTTTCAGCCTTGTCACGTGTAGCATGATTCCTCTACCTAGTATCTGCTGAGTCAAGTTTATTGATCTCGAATTTATTCGCCTCTTCTTCAGCCTTTCCCAGTTCAAAACATCAAAACATCAACGTCACTGTGTCGCAAAAGACAATCTGAGATACTGAACATCAAAACATATCTCCTAAATATCTCGTAACAACCTTCAATATGCCACCACAAATCAAACAAGATCTCAATCGCTCTGGATGGGAAACCACCGACTTCCCTTCCGTCTGTGAAAATTGTCTTCCGGATAACCCCTTCGTACAAATGATTAAACAAGACCACGGCGAAGAATGCAAAATCTGCACAAGACCCTTCACAGTCTTCCAATGGAAAGCCGATCGCACAGCCCGCAGCAAGCGTACCAATATCTGTCTAACATGCGCGCGATTGAAGAATTGCTGTCAATGCTGTATGTTAGATTTGAGTTTTGGATTACCGATTGTGGTTCGAGATGCGGCGCTGAAGATGATTGCGCCGGGCCCGCAGAGTGAGGTTAACAGGGAATATTATGCGCAGAATCATGAGAAGGAGATTGAGGAAGGGAAGGGTATGGAAGAGTACGAGAAAACCGATGAAAAGGCTAGAGAACTCTTGAGGAGGTTGGCGAATAGTCAGCCTTACTTTAGAAAGGGGAGAAAGATGATTACGGATGGGGAAGGTAGTGGGAGCGGTGCTGTGGGTGGAAGTGAAAGTGAGAAGGGTATGGCTTTGGCGACCAAGGGACCAGGACCAATACGAACACGAGATGGACAGCCGAGCAGGGGTGCTGGCCGGGGAGGTAGAGGCGGGATGAGAGGGGGGAGAACTTTTCCTAGTGCAGCGCAATTACCTCCTGGTCCTCAAGATATCCTACCACCTTCGGATAAATCGATAACTTCGCTATTCATTACTGGCGTAGAGGACGACTTGCCAGAATACAAAATCAGGGATTTCTTCTCGCCGTACGGGAAATTAAGATCATTGGTCTGTTCGCACATGTCACATTGCGCATTCATTAATTACGCAACAAGAGAAGGTGCCGAAGCTGCAGCGGAAGCATTACAAGGAAAAGCTATAATTGCAGGCTGTCCATTGAGAGTACAGTGGGGCAAGCCCAGACCAATTGGTACCATGGATAAGGATGAACGCATAGCCACAGGCAGGGAAGGGCGATCAGCTTTTTCGAGTTCGGGTTCGGGTACACAGAGAAGAGCGATCGAGGGTGGCGCTTCACAAGCCGCAGCTCCTCGGGATGATTTGGCCAGTATGTCTGCTGTTGCTGCTCCACCCGGTGCGGGCGATGTGCAGTATGCTAGTCTGGCTGGCAATTAAAGGTCCTGGTGAGTGGAAATTGAATCACCGGAGTTTGGGAGTTCGGAAGCCAAACGGCATGGAATGGAGTGGAGTACTCTATTTTCTGCTTGGAAATACAGTGCATATAATGACAACGATGACCTATGCGGTCACAATTTGAATCCATCTCGCTCTACATCAGCCTGTGTGAAACACCCTCGCTATCCATATCACTTCTAGATACCGACCCTCCATGTCTTACATTTACATTCCCCTTTTCTACCCTCTCCGAAAGATCATGCATCCTTAAGAGAGCCTAGTCCTTACAGGTCTTCCCATCAATCGTAACATTCTTTCCATTCGGCATCTTAATCGTATCATTATCTCCTCGTTCCGTATGTTCGTGAATATTCAACTCTGTTATCTCTTAGCTTCAACTTCATTTTCTCTAAATTCCATTCCATCTCATTTCCCCGACAATCATGGGCCCGCTACATATGTGATAAAAAAATTAGCGCCTACTATATTTCTCATCACCCTCTGCTTTCTGTCCCTGAACCACATTATGCCTCAGGAATTTCGCAACATCTTCGGCATGCGCGATAGCAGCTATAGATTCTGGTGACTCGGGAGCAAGAGATCGATTGGTGAGGAAAGTGCTACGGGCTTGTTTGTGGGCGGAAGTCAGGAGCGCGATATCTCCTGTTGATGTATTAGATATTGAAATGGTTCGAGGGGAAGAACAGTACGAACCATTGAAGGCGATTCTCGTCGCGCGGAGAAGGTGTCTGTAGGCTGCTAAGGCCATTTTTTCTGTTTACGAACTACACAACAAATTTTGATTAGTACAGTACATGTAATTGTTATTCTTTGGAATGAAGTTCAACAATAGCGATATTCATCGTCAGCCTAAATATGAGGACTATCTCGAATATTAGCTCAACAAGTAACAATGAAACTCCTAGCGAAGGCGCGCTGCGTTTGTGGCAAAAGTCTTTGGGATCCTAGTTGCGGCTTAAAGATGCAGGGAGATATGTGGGAGAAAGCAGAGGTACAACTAATGTGCACATACCCGCAACGGTCAAACAAGCTCTGGGTCGACAACGATCTTGGCTTTTAATAGTCATCCACCTCACAATATGACTCAGAAGAGCATCATCATGAACTCGAAGGCTATCACAAACCGCCGCTGTTTTCCAAATTTGCCACAAATGTCAACTAATCAGCCAACGGACTTTCGGGGAAATGAATGGAGACCATAGCCAGAGTAGAAATCCATTAGGAACACCCTATACGAGTCTCGCACAGAGCTTCTCCTTTATAAAATGGGCTGGCGAAGAAAAGGACATGGTTATGTTTCGCAGCTAGTATAGGAGACTCACGGGAACATCTGTTGGACTTGAGGGGCAGATACTCACGTCACTATTTCTCTGCCTTACGTCTTCTTATATCCCGATATTGCGTGAGACAGACGACCCGAACATAACTTATTCATACTACCCATGGGAATGTCCAAGTTTAGATACAACAAGCCCTAGTTCTGCAAAATACGAGACCGTCGAACGCAATGAAACTACATTGTTCTACATCAGGTTGCCTAACAAGCCGAAGCTCTTCGGCAGAAACTAAAGGGAAGGATCCAATAATTCTGTCACTACTGGTGAACCCCAAGGTCAACTGCCCACTACCCCGACAATTATTTGGTGGCGGGCCCCCGGGGGTCCCCGTGGAAAACACTGCAAAATTAATCAAGAGATGAAAAGAAGACAAAAAAAAATGCTGCTCAGGCCTTGCTGCATTTACACTCTGCACAAGAAAAGGGCCACTATCCGCCCAAGTACTGGAAGAACCTGAGGAGGCTATCCTTACTAGTGAATCCCAAGGTAAATTTCCCGCTCCTTTCACGAGTACCAACGAAGTACGCATAGCGAGAACCTTTGAAAGAGTGCCTGGAGAGTAACAAGCTCGGGCAAAGGAACGTACCCTAGCTGCCAGAACCCGAATCCAGACTGGAGCCAGCAACGCCAATCCCATGATTGAAAAAAGCAGAACAATGACGAAAAACTAGATAACAACACAAATTTGGATATCGAAGCAAAGTAAACAATGAGGAAAAGGTGGAAGGTAAGAAGAGACACAATAAGAGACCTGAGCTTAAACTACGCACCTTTAGAGGCTTTGAGGAAAGTTAAGGAGATAGAACTCAAAGCTACCAACGAGAGTGGGAAGGACGTAGTTCGATTCACGTATAGTGAAGCTGAAGATGCCAAAAATCTTATACAAGAACGGGTTACAAAAATTAAGCGGTGCGAGAAAGCTATGCTGAACGATATATGGGAGAACAAGTTCGGAAACAGCGAGACTGTAATGTGCAAATTGCTACGCTTAAAACTATGTCAGTTTGAATGGAAAGACTGGAACTCTGACTGAGAATTGCGAGGAAAGATGCAACGTGATTTTCGATGGGGCGCAAGATTCACAACGAGATCTCCTGCTGAAAGACTTTGGCCTGCTTAGGTAAGCATTTCTTAGTTCCTAGGATTGGAGAGCACGCTGAACGGGTTCGACATGAAGGGTGATATTTAAAAAGCACATATAGTCTACGACATAACCCTTTACATGATTTCAAGTACCTTTCCTACTCAGATATCCAAGTCTTTAACCTTGATTAAAGGCATGCAAACATTCAAGTTTGACATTGAAGTTGTTTGGCGAAACCAACCTCACAGGACCGCAACAATAGCCCAAACTTGCATATCTTCAATAGAACTTCTCTCAATTTAGAGTATTCTGAGAAATCAGAGAAGACTACAGACGGAACAGGTTGATGAACTGTTTAGTTTACGGGAAAATATATATAAAAAATCTTATGAGAACAATTAATTATCGAATTATGTATTTATTATTGATGCTGGGTTGCCTCTATATATATTTATTATCGGCATAAAATATAGGGCGGTGAGGCTAGCGAACAATTTTTTCGGTCCTAGCATTCTAGCCTTTCTTTCTCCCCTCCAACTTTGTATAAAACACTCAAATATTAATAACAATGGCGTCCCATAACCAAGTTGCATTACCTCTCCCTGTCCTCCCAGAAGGATGGTCCGCAGAGAAGGATTTCAAGGCCGTTGCTAGCATTTCTGCTGCAACTCAGCGAAGTCTCGAACCTGTTGGTCCTCACTTTCTCGCCCACGCTCGCCGAGCTCGTCACAAGCGTACCTTCTCCGAGGATGACCGTATCGAGGCCCAAAACAATGTCAAGAAGGTTGAGGATGATGAGCTTGGAGAGATCAGCGAACCTGAGGACCCCATGATGTTGTCCCGGGAGGCCAAGGACTGGAAGGTAAATTCAATAAACACGTTCCTGCCCTACCGCACTTTTACTAACACGCGATGAACAGAACCAAGATCACTATGCTGTTCTCGGCCTCAGCAAATACAGATACAAGGCAACTGAAGAGCAAATCAAGAAAGCACACAGAAAGAAGGTCTTGAAGCATCATCCAGATAAGAGAGCTGCCACTGGTGCCACTGAAGACGACAACTTCTTCAAGTGCATTCAAAAGGCCACTGATCTCCTCCTCGATCCCGTCAAGCGCCGTCAATTTGACTCCGTCGATGAAGCCGCCGATGTTCCACCACCATCCAAGAAAGATCAAAAGGACAAGAAACTCTTCTACAAGAAGTGGAGTCAATGTTTCAAGGCCGAGGGTCGTTTCTCCAGGATTCAGCCAGTGCCCAAGTTCGGCGATGACAACAGCTCCAAGGAGGAAGTCGAGAATTTCTACAACTTCTTCTACAACTTCGATTCATGGAGATCATTTGAATACCAAGATGAGGATGTTCCAGATGACAACGAGAACCGTGATCAAAAACGACACATGGAGCGTAAGAACAACAACGCACGCAAGAAGAAGAAGACCGAGGATTCTGCTCGCCTAAGAAAATTGTTGGATGATGCTTCCGCTGCCGATGAGCGCATTAAGCGATTCAGACAAGAAGCCAGCAAGGAAAAGAACAAGAAGAAGTTCGAGAGAGAGGAGGCTGAAGCCAAGGCAAAGGCTGAGAAGGAAGCTCAAAAATTGGCCGAAGAGAAAGCTGCTAAGGAGGCTGAGGAGAAGTCTAAGGCCGACAAGGAGCAAGGAAAGAAGGCCAAGGAGGCTGCCAAAGCCGCCGTCAAGAAGAACAGACGTATCTTGAAGGGAAGTGTCAAGGACGCCAACTACTTTGCCGGAGAAGGAGACGCATCAGCAAGTGCCATTGATGGTGTCTTGAACGATGTCGAATTGGTTCAAGGCAAGATCGACCCCGATGAGTGCGCCGCTTTGGCTGGCAAACTCAACGGCTTGAAGATCGCAGATGAGATTAAGGCTGTCTGGAGTGAGGAGGTCAAGAGATTGGTTGGTGCTGGTAAGCTTAAGGAGGGCGATGCCAAGAACCTTGCTTAGGTCTTGTGCTAATCTTGTACTTGTACATGATCGAGCGTTTTGGGGAAAATAATTAGATATAGAATGATACACTCATGACTTACTAAAGAATATCGTCTTGTTTCCTGTGATTGTATGTTTCCCCATGCGGTGTGCAACTTACAGGTCCGTGTCCGAGACTCCGAGGAGAAGCGACCGAGTTAGCTACTATTCACCTCTACACATCATTTTAGTCGCAGTTCGCATCAACATCTAGATGGAAGCCAGGGAAATCATTTCCATCCCTCTCCTCTTGTGACTATTATCAGACGCATAACATATCCCTTCACATTCACATACATATCTACACATCACGGCACAGGTAACTCTTGTACGTCACATCGTATCACCAATCAAATCGCACATAAGTCAGTACTATCGATGTTAATAATTTCTGATTAATAACTAAGTAACTAAGTAACTAAAATAAGTAGATGACTTGAAAAAAATGGCAAATTAAACGCGTAACGGTTCGTGTTTGTCAAGTGATACCAATATCATGATGAAAATGCGACGGAATGGATAGATGAATGAATGAATGGACTTGCTGTGTGATATCTGTTGTTTTTGGAGTGGAAATTGGTTGATAATTATGGATAAGTGTAATGGTTGGGAATGTGAAATGCTGATATTGCATGATTCGTGATTCGTGATTCGTGATTTGTTGTTTAGTGGATTTGAAAAGGAATGAAAATTGCTGAATAAATAAGTATGGGTGATATGTACTGGCTGGATTAGATGTGCGTAACTGCATTAGGGGGCGATATTTGGGACTTTCAATCTTTCGATAGGAGGTTTACTTGCTAAGAGAAGGCTCGACTGATGTGTGGTGATGCAAAGAAGCCGGGACTGCGGAAGAAAGCAGAGAAATAAGAGAGGCTCAAAGATCGCTGTCCGAATCATTCTCAGCCTCCGATTCCTCATCGAAATCACGATCCTTCATAAGATCATCGACGTCAGGAATAGCCTCCTCTTCCTCTTCTTCTACCTAGGTGCTGTCGAAGATGTCTTGTTCTGGCTTCTTATCTTCCTTGAGCTCATTGGAAAGATCGGCTTGCCACTCTTTGTAAAGAGCTTCGATCTTCATCGGCAGTATTCCCTGCAATTTGGCTTTCGTCACCGAGTTCTTCTGCCTAATGCTTCTGCGGTCGCCACCCATGGTATGTTGGTCAAGAGTGGCAGCCATTTCATTCACGAATCCCTCCATGACCTCAGGGTACTTTTCTTCGAACTGGCTGTGGAGATATGCACACATCCGTCGAAGCGTAGCCTCCAATTTTCTACCACATTCTCTGTACATAAGTCTACCTCCGAGGCCATCCACGTGGATTTTGTGCGTAGCTTTGTTGCGTGCATAGTGTCCTCGGCCTGCTTTAATGTTCAGTCATTTCGTCCGTAGATAGTGATGAAAAACTCACATTTTTCGGCGCCACATATGTGATAAATGGGCATCCAAGCGTCTACACAGATAGGTTTTACTAATCTCCATGCATCTTTTGCTACCGCCTCAAAATCCGCGAAAATAGAATCAGCTCTGACCTGGAGTCGACGTACATTCCGAAGAATGCTATCGCCCAGATACTCAAATGCTTCACGTAGCGAAGGCGAGATACCTAATGCTGCAGACATAAGGTTGTCTGCAAAATTGGCGAGGCACTTTTCGGCCTCTTTAACATATTGCAAAACCACAGTAGGCATGTTTACGTGAATAGTCTGTGACCATTCTTTCTTGATCATATCAACAAACTCACCGTTCCTGTTCCACATTAGTAAATTGACATAATATTTGACGCGACTGACTTACAATTGCTCATTCCAGTCGAGCGGGCCAGCGCGAGAGCTCTTCCATACTCCCTCGTTCTTGTTGAGAGCCCGATGTGTACTCCAGACTATTGGACGGGAAACCCATGTGGTTTTCGTCACTATTTTTCGAAGTTTTATCGCTGCTTTCATCGAGATCTTTGAAAAGGAACTGAGAAGATCCTTGTCAGCCAATTCTTCAACCCAATTGCCGGTCGTAATGTGCAGCTTAGCAAAACTCTTGGTGCATACTGTTAGTCTGGGAACACATTGTCATGGGACAGAACATAAGAGTTCTGGTCATTACTCACCACACCCCCTTTAAATTTCATCTATACTTTTGAAAATTTAATATTAAATCAACATCACAATATTTTTTATTGAAAATCTGATAATATATTAATAAATAATAATTAATCCTTTTATTTCAATTATATTTTCTAATTTACAAATCAATCTCTCAATATATAACCTGAAATTTAAGGGATCAAACATCTTCTACAATCTTTTGAGTTCCTTTTTCAATTCTTTAATAAAAGTAGATATAAATAGTAGTTTTTTTAGCTCCTTTTTTATCTAATATTATATCTTTTCAATTGGATTAAGATCTGAAGAAAAGAGAGGCCATTGAAAGCCTCTAATATTATACTCTAATTGAATTAATCTAATATACTTCAAATGAACCTTTGCATTATCCTCTATGAATATATATTTAGACTCTAATTCATCAAATAAAGAGAATATAATAAAAATAAGGATTTGATTCTGATATGCTATTGAATTTACTCCCTTATCGTTAGGATTCTTTTTCAAAAAGATTAATAAAGATTTATAATTTCAATCAAAAACCTTTTATATCATTACAAAGATCCTTCCTGATTTGTATACTGATTTAATACAATTCCTATATTTCTTTTCTTCAATTCTACAAATTATCTATATCCTATTACATTTTCTAATTTCGAAAATACTTTCGTCCGATTATATAATCTTCCTCCAATCACCCTTTTTAGGTTTTTCAAAGGTTATATCGATTATCCTCTACTAACGATATATATATACAAAATCCAACCTCTTTTTTGTTTATTTTCTAAAAATAAATAGTTTAAAATAAATTATATAACATTTATAACTATATTAATATAGTTTATATCGAATAGTATATATCAAAACCCTAATTTTTAATATATATTTTATCTATTTAAAAATCATCCTTTTTCCCCTTCAATCTTTTATCAATTCCTTTATAATTCATTGAATCTCTTTAATTATCATTATAAAGGATCGATATACCTTCCCTTTATAAATAATTCTAAATGAATTCAATTTAATAATACCTTTTACAGTACTTCGAGGTACACCCAAATTTTATTTGATCCAAAACTACGATTTTCTATCCCTTCTAATCTGAAAGACTTTAGTTCTACAAAGGGTACCCCAATTTTGATGAAATTCATGATTATCATTTTCATCTTGAATTTTGATAACCATTTTGAATTTGAATAGAAAATATTGAAAATTCGAATTTTGATGAATTATTTATAATTAAGGGTTGAAAATAAAGTTACGGTTATTTCTCGATAAAATATGCGGTTAGAAGTTTCCAGAACTCTTACCTCATCAATACTACTGGAGACTAGGGATGCTCTCTGGTCTAGCATTACTCTCTCCTCAGCCGTCATTTTGAAAGATGCTGTTGTATCTTCTAACCACTTTTGTAGCTGGGCAAAAGCACTGTAAAGTTCCGTATTAAGTGCAATCCCGTTTTGGAGGCGAGTTTCCCATGTGGTTGAGATCAATGCATCTTGCAAACCCGGAATTCCTGTGTCGCCTTTAGTTTTAAACCCACGTCTCATTGCTTCAACGTCTTCTCCTCTGACCAAGTTCATGAATGTGAGAGCTGAGACGCAATGAATAGGCAAAGGTCTTGGGGACTTCTCATCACTTAGTTCCTTTCACGCAGTTTCGTAGTCCTCGGTGATTGACGAGACATGAAAATTATTCCGATTCACAATGCATCGGTTTCTAGCGCGAAAATCCGCATTGAGCTTCGCCTTTTCACAATTCACCTTTTTGGCGTGCATCTTAAACGACTCACTATTCTCTTTATTGAGTTTGTTACGGTGTACATTGCGGAGCCTCTGCAATTTTATATAATACTTAACCAGCTCCTGGTCTCTTGGAGGACTTGCCATCCCCACTTGCACCGAGAAAACCGATATAGATCGGGTGCTCCTTTTTCTGCTCCATGACTTTTTCTATGCTTTTCATCAGTCACCTAACACCAAAAGAGAAGCCGACTTCGCAAAAGAATATTACTTAGTGATGAAAGCTCAAATTTCACAGCTGCGTCAGAATCCACATGCTGAGCCATAATCTGCATAATGTCTCTCAAAGCTGCAATACCTGCATCGCAAGCAGCCTCAACTATCTTCACTTTCTGCACAAGTGGCCTCTCATCGATCCTCTGCCATGCCGGCGTAGGAGGTGCTGGTTGAGTTGGTGGTTCCGGTGTCACGAACTTTTCAAATTCCTGGTCTTCGATCTTTGGTGATGGGAGCCGCATCTTTGCTCAGTAAATGAGTGACTTTGAAAAACGGGCGAGGATGAAAAATATGGAGTAAATCCGGGTTGCTGATGAGTATTTCTCACGTTTTGGCTTCGGCCTTTGCCAATTTGATCCGTTCGAGGCAAATACCTTGTGCATACAATGGAGCGTTGATATATTCAAAGCGTCGCTCCTTTGAAAGGTTCCTAATGATATCCGAAGACGTTGTAGTGGATTGTATCGGAGATGGGGTTGAAATGGTTGAGGGTGGGAAAGAAGTCACTAGTGGAGTATTTGGTCAACTAGCGTATTGCAGCTCCCTCTGAATTTGATACTGGACAGAGTTGAATTAAAGGTGAACTCATGAGCCTGACGAAGCGGCGGAGCGAGAGAGGAAAATACCTTAGTGCCAGATTTGATTTTTAAAGGCAAAAGCTGTGTAAGTGAAAAAGGTACTTGTGAAGAAAAGAGCACATTAACGTGCAGCATGCAAGCAATTATCAATAAGTAAATAGCAATAAGCTGAGCTGGCTGCTGTTGGGGATGATTGCCAAAAACTTTACTCGGAGAAAAGTATTTTGTCCGAGTATGATGGTTTGTTGGCTTGTTGGCTTGTTGGCTTGGAAAAGATCATTTCCAGATCGAGGTTGGTATTTCCATTCGCTGCAGCAGATATTCTGTTAACGGCGGAGGGTAGCCAATGACAACTGGATGGACGAATATTTCAATATCGCTACCCTTTGCATGATGAGATATCGCAAGTCAAAATCGACGCCTTCAGGTGTAATAGAAGAGATGAAATCTTCGGTCTAAACATTATTCATGTATCAAGCCTTTGTGGATATACTAAAATTGAAGGGGAAATAAAACACATTGAGGTTGTCGTCCATTCTTCTATCATATGTACATATATTCCCTAATAGTGCCATACCTCCACCGAACCACGATATCAACATGAATATTTCATGAGCCATAGTGTGAGTAGATTTGTCTTTTACGTTGGTGCACAGGTGTTTCGCCTGCTGGGGCATCTGGAATAACCTTCTCAAGTTTCTATTGTGCATCACATATAGTTAGTAGCTGCTCTTCATCATAGGTGTAAAGGAATGTCATACCAGATTGTCAAAGACACATTTGTTAAGTTTCCACTCTTGTGGTCGACATTGCCATAGTTGTTGGTTATTGTTGTCGAGGCATCCCCTATAACGCTATTAACCAAGGCCAATCTCGTCATACATTGGCATAGTGAGAGTTTATATTACCAGTGTTTCCGGAACTCCTGAAGACAGTGTTTGTTCACATCCTCAATCCTGTATAGGCCATTAGCCTACAGTTCAATAGGCTACAGTCGAACAGAGGGCCATAGTTCGACCCAGCGCCCTTATCTATTCATCGATATACAACAATCCGCATCTGCAACCTCATGAAGGAGTAGCACTTACACGCTCCTCGCACATCTAGTAACTCTTCGGCCCTCCTTCAAACAATCAATCTCACCCTTTCCAGGATTGTCGTTCTTGCATTGCATGAAATCATCATTGTAGGGTCTGCATCTCGCACCGATAAAGAAACTCGCGGACAATAATGGCGCCGAACTGCTACCAATTTCTGTGACGGGGGGAATTTCCGCAGGTAATGGGGTGGTGTCAATCAAGACCTGCTGGTTAAATCTGCGATCATGGTTAGCACTAGATAAAGGTAAGATAATCTACCAGCATGAGAGCATACCTAGGATTACGTGCAGCCATTTCGAGATATGTTGTGAGAAGATACTGGGTTCGCAAAGCCCGTAAATGAGTGTTTTGGAGGTTGGATGCAGTATGAAGCTTTGAGGTCAAGTTGAAAAAGCGCAAGTTGATTGGCTTATCAGCCGACCTTTCAGAAGTCGCGACTGATCAAAAGAGCTTCGTCCTGACAACGAATTTATGTTTCTGCAAAATAATATAATTCACTCTGTGAAAATATTCTATCAGCTTCAACATTGAACAATATCTCGCCAATTTCTACTGTCCATGTTTTAGCCCACAAAATAAATTGGCGCATCCTGTATCCGATAAATCTTTCAATTCCTAATAATATTTTATCAAGCGCGTTGTTCCCAAGGTCAGCATTTTTTTTTGAGTAGCTGCAATTGTGCATTGTGCCAAAAGTCCCTTCGAGGCTACTTGCATCTCCCTTTAGTGATCTATCTCAACACTACTGTAGCTCAAAGCGCATAAAGAAGGCATCATGTTTGGAAGTACTTTCGGCCAAAGCCAGCCAGCTGGCGGAGGTTTATTTGGCTCAACAAACACAGCGCAATCAACAGGAGGGTTATTTGGCTCGACTACAGCTACGGGAACTCAGAACCAGGGAGGAGGGCTTTTCAGCGGGTTAGGGCAAAACGCTCAACAAAATCAACCACAGCAGACCGGCGGGCTCTTTGGTGGAGGACTTGGGGCAAGCACTCAGCAGAATCAGCCGCAAGCAGGAAGCTTATTCGGACCAAATACCCAACAGCCACAGCAGCAACCCGGAGGACTGTTCTCAGGACAGACTATGGGAGCACAGCAGCAAGCAGCCCAACAACAGCAAAACACCATTCTTGGAGGATCACAACAACTAACTAGTTTATTCGGGCAAACACAACCGTCGCAAGCTTTGGGGCAATCACAAGGACAATTTAACAACACCCTATTTGGAGCCAGCGGACTGAGACCTCGTATGTACCTACCAACTTATTCGAAGCGCAGGCTAATTCTTATATAGGAGAAAAGAGTGTCATAGACCAGATTGAAACAGTCGTGGGTAAATGGGATACTGGAAATAAGGATTGTGCTTTCCAATATTTCTTTTACAACAACGTCGGCGAGGACAGGGCGCCATTCTACCAACCGCAGCCTAATGAGGATCCGAGAGCTTGGGAAGAAGCCCTCTCGAAGAAGCCAGGACCTGGGTATATCCCAGTAGCATGTATTGGTTTCCAAATGATGGGCGAGAGAATCAAGGCTCAGCAACAGCACCTTGCAGCGTTCAATATTCGTCTACACGACATAAATGCTAGCTTGACGAACCTACTACAAACTCACGATACGAGGACGAGTATACGGGCAATGGATGCTAGGAGAAAGCATGTGGTATTAAAACAAAGGTGCCTGGCGTTGGCGACTAAAGTCCAGGTTTTAAGAAACAGAGGTTATGCACTCAGTGGAGATGAGGAGGACCTGAAAGCTAAGCTTATCAGCATAGAGAAAGGGGTTACTGATCCCGCATTGGGTGCCAGAGCAGAAGAGATTTGGGCGCGAATGATCAACGTTCAAGAAAGAGGCCGGTTATTAAGAACCGAGCTGGAGAAGGTTGGGCAAGAAAATGGGGAGATTTTGGACGATACCATGACCGCGCGATGCAAGAAGGTACTGTCACAATTTTCACTGAAATTATGAATTTATGCTAACTCGCAAATCAGATCCTGGAAGACTATCAAACTCAATTAGCACATTTGAAAAAGGAGTTGGATAGAGTACATAAAGATTATATCGAATGGGAAAAGGAGCAGCCGCCACAGACAGCAGCGAGGACAACATTTGGCCGATGATTGATGCGAAAATACCCATGGTTAATTTTTTGATCGGAGGCTTAGACTTCATGGAGTTGGTCGGCATGTAAAAAAGATAGATATTGTATAATATGGAAGCTTGATTACGCGCTAATAGTAGTAATTTCTCTTTCACTTCTCTCCGAATCAATCGCGAAGGATCGCCATCGGGGTGATTGCTGTCAAAAGACGTTCTTACCCACATATCGAAAATACGCCCTATCCCTTCTCGCCATGGCGGCAAATGACTCACAGCCTAAGACTTATCTAGTACTCCCCCTATAAAAGTAAGAATCTCGTTAACGCCAATGCTCGCGATCATCCATCCTACCAACACTTGAATAATCTTAGAAGACTTATCCTCAAAAATGACACGACCTGAAATTCCACCTGTCTCACTTTACCCCGCCGATTTCGAAACATCCTTCCCCACCGTCTCCCCCGACTCCCCTCCTTTTCCCTCCCTGATCCCACTCTCCCACACCACAAAGCGCATTTCCCTAATTCCGCTCTCTCTTGATCACATCCCTGATCTATGGAAACATGTCGGCGGAGAAGAAAAATATATGCTTTACAAATATATGCCAGGTGGACCATTCAACACCATTGAAGAATTCACAACCTATCTAACATGGCTTATTGACTACTCGCAATCTGAATTTGTAAATTGGGTGGTTGTATTGCCCAGTGGAGAAGCCGTGGGCATTATTTCTCTTTTGAATATCGTGCCCTCTCAGAGGAGGATCGAGGTTGGTCATTTGTTGTTTTCAAAGTCCTTGCAGAGGACTACGGAGGCGACGGAGGCGTGTTATGTGTTGATGGAGTATGTGTTTGGATTGGGGTATGAGAGGGTGGAGTGGAAGTGTAACGCGCAGAACGTGGCGAGTAAGAGGGCCGCGGAGCGGTTGGGGTTTGTGGGCGAGGGTGTTTTTAGGAGGCATATGGTTATAAGGGGAAGGACGAGGGATAGCTGGTATGGCAGTGTGATTTTGGAGGAGATGGAGTTGGTTAAGAAAGCGTTGGTGGAGTGGCTGAAGGCGGAGAATTTTGATGAGGGCAAGCAGAAAAGGAAGGTTGAGGAGATTAGAGAGGAGGTGGCCAGGGGGCTCAATTAGAAGATATATGGTGGCAGAGGCGAGATGAAAGGGAGAAAATGGGAAGAAAAGGAAACCTGAGTCACAGGCTTGCTTCGTCAGAGTTTACACGGAGAGCCGATTTTGTATAACATATGTAGTAGCAGCATTCCGGATTGTACAAAAACGGTTCTTCTTAATGTTCGACTTCATTTTGGTAGTATCTTTCAGCTTGGTATGTTTAAATGCCTTGAAGATTAAAGACACTTTTCTAAAGTCCTCTTCTATGCTTGCAGTATATCTATGATCCTCTCTCGATTCTCAATCTTGTACTCTTTGCACAATAGAGAAAGAACTAAATGCCAATGCCAGCAAAATTATATGTGCAGCAGTTGTCCATTATATCCATGGTTTGCCCCAGTACTATTATATACCCTTAGCTTCTCGTGCGGTCATATTGTACAGGTCGTCGTGATGCATTATTCATTTGCATCCTTAGATGAGGTTTTGGATGCTCTTAACAGCGAAAGGTGCTATATTAAAGTCAGCACACATATGGTAGTAATAGGAAAAGAGCAAGACATACAGAGGTAAAGAAGAATAGACCATGTAATGACTCGTTGCACAGTAAGAGTAGCCTCTTCCTCTTGAGCCTTAAGTTCGGCAGGGGATGGTTGTGGTGGTGCTAAAATTGAAGTTAGAAAAGCTCGCATATAGTATCGGATGAAAAAACCTACGTCCGCCGAACATTTTTGTGGTATAAGATTGCAGATGTGTTGAGGTTGAACGTTGAGATTATTACCTGGTACCAAGTTGATGTTTACACTACGAGTATAATAAATTTTAATCCTTCCGTTATCATCTGCTTACTACAGCCTTGTGCGTAATTTAAACATTTAAGGTTTCTGCTGGCGCGTTACACTAAACCATAAACGGGCTCATGGCTAATCTATCACTGCGGTTTTGGGTAATTCACTTCTCCTAGAGTAGTTTGACTGAACTTAACCTGTCATGTATCTTGTCCCCACTCCTGTCATGAAAAAAAAAATATGTTGGTTTATCTAAATTTCATATAAAATCGACTCGTCACTCATTCATCTTTTTTCATATTCTCTGTCGTTTTACTTGTTTCTTATAGCTCCATATCATCCCCATTCTTATCTGAATGTGGGGTGTATGATAACTTAGAATCCTAGTTATTCCTAATATTTCCGGGCCCTTCATCCGAGCTTAAGTTTCTCGTACGACAACTCTCTCTCTACTAAACCTAGAGAGACTTTTCTCGACTTTCGCAACCAAAACTTGAGGTTCACGAGCTTCGCAGATTCTGCAGACTCAAGAACAATGGTTGCCTCAAGCCTTGCAATTCGTGCGAGATTTGCTCGAGCTGCACTTCAGTCAAGAGGTTCATCTTTGAGAAGCTCAACCCTCACAAGACCATGGACTACTGGCCAATCGTCATGTTCTGCCATTGTTTTGAAGCCAATTGGGAGACGAAGTTTCTACAAAAGCTCTGCGAAGGATGAGTCGATCAATTCGCCTTCGAGCCTCAGTTCTAGAGGAGTATACGCTCCTTTAGATACCTTCGCGCGTCGACACATTGGTCCTGATGCAGAATCAACAGAACAAATGCTTAAAGCTCTGGATCCTCCAGTCAACAGCTTGGATGAGTTTGTCAAACAAGTTTTACCTCGCGATATCCTCTCCTCGAAAGATCTCAAAATCGACACCGAATCCGAATCTTCACAGGAAGGGTTTACGGAATCTCAATTGCTTGCAAGACTGAAGTCAATTGCTTCCGAAAATAAGATTATGCGAAGTTATATTGGATGTGGATATGCTGGAACACGAGTGCCGGAAGTTATTAAGAGAAATGTGTTGGAAAGCCCAGGATGGTATACAAGTTACACACCATATCAACCTGAGATCAGTCAAGGTCGATTAGAATCGCTTCTGAACTACCAGACACTTGTCTCCGATTTGACAGCACTACCAATTTCCAACGCATCTCTGCTCGATGAATCTACTGCGGCCGCTGAAGCTATGACCTTATCAATGAACGCCCTTCCACTTGCTAGACAGAAGAACAAGAACAAGACATTTTTCGTCAGCCACCTAGTTCATCCACAAACACTAGCAGTTTTAGAGAGCCGAGCAGAAGGATTTAATATCAAGATTGAAGTTGGGGATATTCTAGCGGATGGCGCGGCTCGCCTCAGGGAGCTTGGAAATGATCTCATTGGTGCTTTGGTACAATATCCAGATACTGAAGGTGGCGTAGAGGATTTCCGTGGTCTGGCAGATGTCATTCATGCTCAAGGTGCAACTTTCAGTGTGGCCACCGATCTTTTAGCCCTTACTGTTCTCACTCCACCTGGTGAATTTGGTGCAGACATCGCTTTCGGCAATGCTCAACGTTTTGGAGTTCCTTTTGGTTATGGCGGTCCACATGCTGCTTTCTTCGCTGTTGGCGACAAGTATAAGAGAAAAATTCCAGGACGTCTCATCGGTGTATCAAAGGACAGGCTAGGAGATAAGGCAATGAGATTGGCCTTACAAACTAGAGAACAGCATATTCGCAGAGAAAAGGCTACTAGTAATGTGTGCACGGCTCAAGCACTGTTGGCCAACATGAGTGCATTTTATGCAGTTTACCATGGGCCAGAAGGGCTCAAGGCCATTGCCGAGAGAGCTATTAAAGGAGCTCGATTCATTCAGGATGGACTCAAAAATCTTGGCTTTGAGACCAACTCCCGAGGAACAGGTTCTGATGGAAAGGTTCTTTTTGACACAGTCGTGGTAAATGTTGGGCAGGGTAAATCTGATGAAATCCTTAGCTACGCTACTGAGAATTTCAAAATCAACTTAAGAAAGTTCGATGATAGCCGACTTGGTATCACCATCGATGAAACCGTTGACATCAAGGACCTTGAAGATATTCTATCTGTGTTCAAGAATTTCTCCAAGTCAGGATCAGGATCCTCCACAGAAACAACAGAATTGCAAAAGTCTTTTGATAGCTCGATCCCGGTTGCACTAAAGAGATCATCCCAATACCTTACCCATCCAGTCTTCAATACACATCATTCCGAGACCGAGATTCTTCGTTACATTCACCACCTCCAATCAAAAGATCTCTCTCTCACACACTCTATGATACCTCTGGGTTCCTGCACGATGAAGCTTAACGCTACTACTGAGATGGCTCCAGTAACATGGCCGGAATTCTCATCCATTCATCCTTTCGTTCCTGTTGATCAGGCAACTGGCTATAAGACTATGATCGATGAGCTTGAGGCTGATCTTGCTACTGTCACTGGATTTGATGCTGTATCCTTGCAACCGAATTCCGGCGCACAAGGAGAATTTACCGGATTGCGTGTGATTCGCAAGTTTCAAGAACAGCAACCGGGCAAGAAGCGTGATATTTGCTTGATTCCTGTTTCTGCTCATGGTACTAACCCGGCATCAGCTGCTATGGCAGGTATGCGTGTTGTTACTGTGAAATGTGACATCAAGTCTGGCAATCTTGACATGGCTGATCTCAAAGAGAAATGTGAAAAATATAGCGAGGAGCTTGGAGCTATCATGATCACATACCCAAGTACATTTGGTGTATTTGAACCAGAAATTAAGGCTGCATGTGACATTGTTCATCAACATGGTGGTCAAGTATACATGGATGGTGCCAATATGAATGCTCAAATTGGATTGTGCTCGCCTGGTGAAATTGGTGCCGATGTGTGCCACCTTAACCTTCATAAGACATTCTGCATTCCTCATGGTGGTGGTGGACCGGGTGTTGGTCCAATTGGTGTTAAGTCTCATTTGGCACCATTCCTTCCTGGTCATCCGTTGGTGAAGACTGGTGGTGAAAATGCTATTGCTCCAGTCAGCGGTGCTCCCTTCGGAAGTGCAAGTATCTTACCAATTAGTTGGGCTTATGTGAAGATGATGGGTGGTAGGGGATTGACTCATGCTACTAAGATCACTCTCCTGAACGCCAACTACATCATGTCCCGCCTCCGACCTCATTACCCAATTCTCTATACCAATGCCAATTCTCGATGTGCTCACGAGTTTATTCTTGATGTTCGTGGCTTCAAAGAATCAGCGGGAGTTGAGGCTATCGATATTGCCAAGCGTCTTCAAGATTATGGGTTCCATGCGCCAACCATGAGTTGGCCAGTCGCTAATACTTTGATGATCGAGCCTACCGAGTCGGAAAGTAAGGAGGAACTTGACCGCTTCATTGATGCATTAATATCGATCCGCAAGGAGATCCAAGCTGTTGAAGATGGTACCACTCCAAGGGCAGGCAATGTCTTGAAGAACTCGCCACATACTCAAAAGGATCTTCTTATTGGAGAATGGGATCGTCCATACACTCGAGAGCAAGCCGCATACCCATTGCCTTATCTCAAGGAAAAGAAATTCTGGCCATCCGTGACCAGACTTGATGATGGTAAGCTACTCCATATCCCCTTCACCTTTCATCTACTAACATATTTATAGCCTACGGTGATTTAAACCTCTTCTGTACATGCGGACCTGTGGAAGCCACCGATGATGCCGAACACGACATTACCGGTGTTTCGGCTCCACAACCTACATAATTGCATTTTAGAATTTTGTTTTGCGCATTTTAACATTTAGCGAGCATTTTTTTCACTTTGTATTTCGGGTGAAACATTAAAAGGAATTTCAACATGAAGTAATTCAACATTGGGAGGAGTTGTGGATGTCTATCTATCATATATTATGATATGGTGTGATCATGTATATGGCGTTTAAAGAATACATGACATATAGAGGGTTCTTTGGCTTCAACCGCCAGGATGGGATTGGTATGATGGATGGTTAATTAACTGTGAATATAGCTCATATGGGAGGGCATTTTGCAGCTCGCTTGGCATTTATAGATCAATCGTGCTTTTCTTGGTGTTTCGATTGTGTGGAGGGGGTGATTCAAGATATATATGCAACAATTACATATTGTATTTTGAGAGTATTCACTTCACACTGAATCGTGATCTTGATTGATTTCCTGCTGTGGAATAGAATGTCTATATACGACGTGTAACTTAAAATCTATAAGATCCAAGTCAAGTTACTCAACACGGCTCTGGGATAAGTGTCCTTTACAAATGCAATCTTTTAAAAATCAATTCTTAGAATCATCATTCAAGCGCTAATTTGTCATTTCTATGACTCTATCGTCGCGGATCTATGGAGACCGAATGGAATTCTGCATGTTGGAAGTTAGATGTGAGTAAGAACTGCAGATGAGTCCCTCGGGATTTTTCTGCAGGGGGATAATGATTTCATTGGTGTTTGCTTTTTTGATGGTTGGGCGGTGGGAAGGAAAGGAGGGAAGAGGAGAGGGGTAGGAGAGAGAAAGATGACACCTCTTTTTTTCTTAGGGAGCTCTATGTGCGAGTTTGGGAACTTGGTTTGGGTTTTATGTATATTGGTCCTGGTCAGGGATTTGTTTTTGAGAGTGAGAGTAAAGATGAGGATTTATTATTGTTGTTTGTTGCTGAAGCTATTACCGTTACGAAAACCCATTGTCAACCAGATTTATTGATGCAGCAGCATCTATAGAATATCAACAGATACTTCTGGAATAAGAAGTCTATTTTCTGCTTCTAGATATACTGTACACCAAAAGAGATCTTGTATGAATAATCTTACACCATTTCACTAGCTTACCCATTGTCTCTATTATGGGATAATGTGGAGGGGAATTTATATACTAGTATTGTAAGATTATCTTTTGGGGTGGGGAATTGGAAACGGGAGATTCCAATTTTTGATTTACTGTATGGTTCCACGGGAAGCGGCGATATTCCCAGCTGTAGTTTGTTCATTGTGCAATATACACCACAGCTCGTTATCCATTATTTTGATGTTAGGGGGTAGTACTCCTACTGTACTTGTGAAAATCATCGCTGGTAGGTATTTAGTATATAAAAATCATTTGGATCAGATCTAGGAATGCCAACTGGATATTCAAGTGGTGGTCTCGGCTGCACTAGGGGGAGTGAGTGCCGATTGATTTCTATTTTCTGTGGCTCAGAGTTGATTAATCTTTCTGTTAAGTTCAAGAAAATAATTGTGTCTCGTGTCTCTCGTCAAAGGGAAGTGTTAAATTGTATTTTTGTTGTGGTTTATTTTGTGTTTGGTTTTTTTGATTGGTTATATTGTTGTTATTTGGTATTGTATTGATTGTTGTTATTATTTTCATTATATTTTGGATTCTTTTGATTATATCGCTAATCTGGCCAATTTTTATCACATATCGCGGTCATAATTTAATAGCTGGCTTTGAAAGTAAATCCTGATGAATGCTCAACGCATGACTAGATTGCATTGGTGTGTAGAGTACTTGGTGCATTTGCTCCACAGTGGGAATATCGCTTCAAAGTACCACAACAAACTCCTAGAAACTTCTTCCATATATCACTATATAAACCGATACAATTCATTAACTTTCGAGTCCATTAAAATGGACAAGAATTAATTTGGCAATATATGGTGCCATTATCAGCAATTCATTGATTAACATCATGTTGTTATTTCTGAATTAGATTTGATTTTGAATTTGAATGATATTGTATCTGCAATAGATTTCTGATTTGTTGTCGGATAAAGTGAACAAAGTGACAATCATCTCATCTCAGTTTCTCGCCATCTATCACTCGGTTATTACTTTGAAGGATTAAGTGTTGTTACTTGTATTTCCTATCAGGTCCGTTTTTTAGGTCTAAAATATCTTTTTTTTTTACAAAGATCAAGGTAAAATGACTGCATTCCTCTCTTCATAAATCAGTCAAAAACTTTATTCTTATTTTGTTTATCATCTATGAAAATGATGTTGATATCCAAGTCATCAGGGGTTGTAGTTTCTATGTTGTGCTTGGAGAGCTTTATATATTTCATAGTCTTGATTTTTTGCATGGTCATCCATTTCTTGTCTGTTTAGTAATTAATGCGGATCCAGTATTATGCTATACCTTGTATCTGTCAGTACAGGCTAAATGGATGGAGGTTCTTCAAGCGCCTAAAATAAAACTCCAACGATAGATCATCTTGTTGTGTAAAGACCCATCCACCTCAAGCAATCCTACTTTCAAATTTTGAAACCCAAATTGTATCTCACTCCTGCCAAACTGGGATACTATGAAGGAGACGTGTCGCAATAGTTTTCGTTCAAAATAAAGACTTGTAATTAATTATATTCTAAAACTATGATCCGATTATTTTATTTTATTAAACTCCTTTTCATTGTCACTCCTTAACAAACATCATCGATGATTCCAGTTTTATTATTATAAAATTATATTATAAATAAAAACAAATATTAATAATCAATTTATAATATAATTTAATTGTTTTAATTTATAATATTTTATTTAACTTTATAATTATACTATTTTAATAAACTTTTTAATAACAAATATTGTTTTATATATTAAAGTTTTTATAAAAATTTAAATCTTTTTTTTATATTTTAAAAGTTTTTAATAAATATTTTATTTATTTATATTAACAAATTCTTTAATCAAATTTATATTTTTATAAATATTTATAAATAAAAAAATTCATTTAAACAAAATCTAAAACTTTTCAATTTTTATAATTTTTATTTATAAATTATAGTTATTAAATATATAAAAATATTTAATATTAATATAATTATATAATATTTTAATTTATTTTAATTTATTATACAAAATTATAAGAGTTCTGGAATCTACTCACCACACACTAAGCGAAATCACACCAAAATCAATGATTTTTTCAACTTTTTAAACCCCTGTTATCTTTATAAAATAATAAAATAAATATATGAAAATTGATATTTATATAGATAATTGATTGAAATATAATAAATATTTCGTTAAATATTTATTATTATTTTTGTTTCAAAGTTATATATATTTAAGATTGAAAATCAAAAGTTTAAAAAATCGCTTATTTTATATGAGGAAAAGTTCAAAAAGCGTTACACGAATGAAATTTTAATATTTTTAAATTTAAATAGATATAATTTTAGAACAAAATAATTAAAAATAAATTATAAATTTTTCGATATCCTTTTGTAGTTAATTATAATATTTGAAAATTTGATTTGATTTAATTCAACATTGAAAAGTTATTCGATATTTTATTTTATATAGGAAAATTTGATTTTTGCAGGGATTTTGTCACGAATTTGAATGGTGTGCGGTGAGTAGATTCCAGAATTCTTACATTATATATCAAAGACGTTTCATTTTATCATTTTATTTTTTGTTATTAATGATTTGATTCTACTTTATATTCATCTTATCAATTGTCATTCAATCTCACCACTATTCCCAATTCCAGTTTTCCATTTGCGGACTTGGATGATTAAATCCTTGTAGAAGGTCCGAGTGAATGTTAATACTCGTAGTAAATAGATATTTATCTTATGTTTGTGTGTTCCCTTAATTTACTTTGATTCTTGGATTTCCCTTATCATTACTTGAAATTTGTTGATTAATGGGAGTGTTGTTCGCTTTATATACCTCTCTTTATTGTATTTACTCTGCCTTCTTCGAGAAACTACCTTGGTTTAGAGCTAAACTAGAATAGACTGACGTTTAAGTGGGTAAGTTCCTACTATCCCATAGCATTGTAGAGTGGTTCGGATTGACCATAGTACATTTCTATTTCAATTATTTTTCCCCTATTCAACTATTGTGTATATAAAACTCCCCTCGGATATTCCAGTAGAAGCAATGAAGCATGCATTCCTGGAATCCATCGAATGGTTTTCTATCAGAAGATATGTCAAGCTAGTTTTTTCTTCCAAGGTATCAGATCAAACCCTCTTATATACATTCATAAAACCTCCTGAAGAGATTTTGGCATTGCCCATATTCCGATTGTTGCTTTTCCTTTTCGTTGCTATTCCATCTAATAACTTTCCCTCCTTTCCTGCCGATGGTTATTAAAACGATCATCAAATCTACATCATCAACCTCGCAATAACGACAGCAACCGTCATTCCGTCTTAACTCTAAATCAAGAGCGTATCATTGAGTCCCTTGGGCATCAGGATTCAAGATTCAAGTACAACCTGTCCTCAGGCAGTTGCGGATTTGATGTGGAAATCTTATTTGACGCACTCAAGTCATATATGGTTTGGCTATAAATACTTCAAGTTCTTTTTTCCATCCATCTGCGAGGACCGATTTGGCTAGGGCTACTCAACACAAAGCTGGGAGAAAAGGTAATATTAAGCAAACCATCTACGAGAATCTCCTACTATAATGGTTAACAGTGAATACATTCACAGTCATTACTATTCCTTTATAAAAGATACTCCTCAAACTTATAACAACCATATATACAGGGCATAATTGCCAGAGCGAGTTTCTCTGGGGTATAAATTAAACTGTATATATATGATACTTACAGATAATCAAATATTAATAACTGTAGATGTATATTGCCAGGTAAAATCTTGGAATTTGGTTATCATTAGAATTTGGAATGTAGATTAGTATTGTTGTTATTAATACTTTTACGTTTCTTATTTTGACAGTAGAAATGTTTTTTGCTATCAAATTTGTCATGCCGTGTGATTTATTCTTGAGATACGCTTGTTTTAAAGGTATTTATATAATTATAAAGTCTAAGACATTTAAGATCATACGTTTTTGACGATTAGAAAACCCGTAAGTCCTGTGATGTTGTGATGTTCTGGTGTAGTTTGTTTGAGATGTTCAATCCATCTGAAAGATCAACCTATAGAGGTTCTCAAGTCTTTATGGATTGGACTCCTGGATTCGGGTTGCAGGGTAGTCTATTATACCAGAGTTTAGGACCAGTCGAGTTCTAATTACTCTATTAGTATCAAGACATAGAGCGCCTAAGCATAAAGGTCTTTCAGTCCTTATATCTATCTCAAAAATTCACATTCACATTTCCGAAAGCAAAGAAACCAACACAAAATCAACCGCATTTGCTTTTCCTCATACAAATAAATAACAATACCACATATACGCAATCAACCTAATACGTAGCAGCCAACCTCTGCACCAAATACTCCCCCGAATTAATCCCCTCATATTTTCTCTCTCCCAATTCACCTCCATACGTCCCCTCAATTGCTTCAATCATACGGTCGAAATTTGGGTTGCAGAAATATGCTATACTGTATCTCGCTGGATAGACACCGTCTTCCTTAATTTCTTGACCTTCCTTGGGAGGAGGTTCCACAACTCTATGCAAAGTACTCTTGATAAAATCATTACTCCACCTCGCCAACAGATCCCCGGCATTTACCACCACCGTACCCTCTACAGGCGTTGCATCAACAAATGTTCCCTTCGGACTCTTTACCTGTAGACCTCCTCTATCATCTTGAAACAGTAATGTAATACTACCATAATCCGTATGTTCCCCTGCCCTAACTTGCAACTTATTTTCCTTAAACACACTTGCACTCGCAGGAGGATAATGTAGCAAGCGTAAAGTATTATCCCCCGCACTAGTAAATCCATCAAAATAAGATTCCGGCAACGACATCCCAAGAGCAATAGCTCGCATAACATTAATATGAAGCTCCTTGCACAAATCATGAAATTTCAACATCGTCTCTTTGAACTCTCTTGCATCTTCATCTTCAGGAGTAATAGGAGGCCAATTATTAGGTAATTCCTCTTCACCTTCTTTCCCTATCTCGAAACTTTCTTTAAGATCGGGTGCTTGGGCTTTTAGTTCCGCAACTGCTTTTTTATCTGTAAGTGTTGTGGTTTTTTCGCGGCCGTGGGCTACGTAGCCTCGGTTTGCGAGGGGTGTTGTCCAGGCTAGGGATCTTTTGTGAGGAGGGACGGGCGAAGAATTTGGCTGATATGGAAAAGGTGTGAGAGAGTGTGGGTGGGGGGATGGGGTGGTGGGATAGGTAGATGAATCCTGCGGTGCGGAAACCGTGGAGGATGGATTGGGCGGTTTGGAGACGTTGGGTTGGTGTACCGGTTAGGAAGTGAGAGAAGTTTATTATCTGGTGAGTGAGATGAAGGTTAGTTTGCGATGGGATGAACAGGAGATTGATGATTAGATGGAATTAGAGGAAGGGAGAATCATGGAATGAAAGGGAAATTACAGGAATAACGAGATTATCGGCATCAACAGCCTTCGCTACTTCTATCGACATTTTGTCTGATATTTCTCTTCAAAATCACAAATATCGTCGTCAAGAAATCCAAATATACTAGATAACCTTAAACAAGCTTGACTCGAGTAGTTCAGGAATGTATATATTTCAATCCCTTATCCATAAATGTAATAAATCGCCGAACGCGGCCAAAGCCGCTCTCCGCATTCAGCCAGATAGAGTATACAGGTACGACTGTACCATTCCTCGAAAGGCAGGTAAGTGATACCAGAGGGGAAAGTTATGATAAGCATTTCTGATAATTGATAAGAGATTTGGATGTTTTGATATATGGTGGGGTTGCACGAACTAGGGGGGTTACTAGTGCGGGGTAGGTTTGATGTTTAGCTATCTTCTTATGGATGGATGTACATTTTATTACATACTGAATACTCGAGTACTATGCTTGGAATTTGATCAAGTGATTTAAGTAAATTCATTGCGTGTTAGGATTGGAACCCTTCTACTTACAAGTTCTCGTATAAGGTCTCTTCTACAGAATTTCCCTACACTTCTCCTCGTCCTTCATCCGTCACATACTCAAAATGTCGTCAGCTCCGCCCCAAACTCCAATTGTAGATATTCATACACACATCTACCCACCATCCTACCTATCCCTCCTCAAGTCACGGGATGAAATCCCTTATATCAGACAATTTCCACCGGCGAAAGAGCATCGATTGGTTATTTTACCAGCGGAGGATACACCTAGCACGAGTAGAGGAAGGCCAATTGGAGCTGAGTAGTATGTTTATATTTTCTTACTTTATGTTTTTAGGAATGTCTCAGTAGAGTCGGTGAAAGCGCGGGTGGAGGAGGAGGAGGAGGAGAATGAGGAGAGGCGTAATAATGAGGAACAATGAATTAGAAATGAATAGGTTGTACTAGAGGAGGAACTGTCATGATTGAGGATCTAGTGATCATTCTCTTAAATGGCAGATTCGGCTATAAAGTTTCAAGGCTCATGAAAGTTCGAAGTGTTGAACTTCCTCTTACACGAACTATCGGTTCCTCTTGTTTTCGAGGGAGTTAGGACGATAGAAACTTTCCAAAAAGTCCACTTGTCTCCCCCCACCGGGCTTATTCCCACCCTCTATATAACGTCTATCACGAGCCACTATAAGTCTAAACATCCAAACTGATCCTAAATTTTCCAGCTACGACATAACTGAAAAAATTGCTTTCATGAACACCCACTCCATCACCACCTCCATAATTTCCCTTGCAAACCCCTGGCTCGACTGGCTTCCCACTTCTACAGCTCTCCAAACAGCTCTCGAAATCAATACTGAAATAAACGACCTTTGCGCCCTCTACCCAGCCCGCCTCTATTTCTTCGGTACCCTCCCCTTATCCGCCCCTCCAGAATCCATCCTCGAATCCATCACGCACTTAAAAACCCTCCCTCATTGTCGGGGTATAATTCTCGGAACTACCGGTCTCGGTTCCGGTCTCGACGATCCTTCCCTCCTCCCTATTTTCCATGCATTAGCCAACGCTAAGCTCCCCATATTCCTCCATCCCCACTACGGTCTCCCAACTTCTGTTTTCGGTCCCCGAGGAAATGACTACGGACACGTTTTACCCCTTGCCCTTGGCTTTCCCATGGAAACAACCATTGCCGTAACACGCATGATTCTCTCTTCCGTATTTTCCCTCGTGCCCACATTACAAGTCCTACTCGCGCACAGCGGAGGAACCCTTCCCTTTTTAGCTGGACGAATCGAGAGTTGTATACTCCACGATGCACATCTCAAATCCGAAGGAAAACTCCAAGATATAAATGGAGGAAAACGAAAAACTATCTGGGAAATTTTAAAAACAAATATATGGTTAGACGCAGTAGTTTACGGGGATGTGGGAGTTAAGGGTGCGGTGGGTGCTAGTGGAGTCGACAGAGTTATGTTCGGAACTGATGCTCCATTTTTCCCGCCGTTAGATGAGGAGGAGGAGGAGAAGGGCGAGGAAGGTAAGAAATGGCTTAGTGTTTCGATGAATATGGATGCTATTAGAAGTGCTTGTGGTGCGGGTAGTGAGGAGGAAAAGGCTATTTTGGGGGGGAATGCTATTCGACTTTTTGGGTTGGATTTACCTGCTTCTGCTTCTACTTCGGTATAGTCTGGTACTTCACTATGACTGGCAGTATGAGCATGAGCGTGATGTATTTCATTCCAAGATTCAAATATTGAAGACAAAAAATCGCATACAAAAGCAGCCGTGGAAGAACTTTGGAAGAGGGCAATTCGGTAAAACTAAAACAAAAAAGAAGAGGAAATTTATTTATTTATTTAAATATATATGCATATACACACACATATATACATACACATATAAATATATAATTTTTTCAAAAATTAAAATAAAATCATTGACAATTTCAATAATATTAAATGTAATAATTATTTTATTTTAAGTAATCTCAAAAGTCAATATGAGTAATATTTTTATCATTTAAAGACTTTTTTAACATATAACAAAATTTGAAATTTAAAATACAAAATTCAAAGTATAAAAGAATATAAAATAGAATATAATATAATATTATTAAACCCAGATAAGTAAATAAATAAATAAATAAATATTATTAAAAAAAAAAATCTCTCAAAAAGAATCCCACTCCGTCTACCTATCTATCAATCCATCTATACATCTTTTCTTTTATGCAAAGTAAAGCAACACAAAGCAAAGTAAAAGTATTCCGCACCCGCACCCGCACCCACACCCGACATGATAAAATATATTATCAAGATCAAGTTGTAATCTAAACCCAACCAAGTAGAACCAAGTAAACACACCAGGAAGAATAAGTGATCTCCTGCCGTTTCTATCCCTATCCATATCCATATCCCTGTTCCCGTTCCCGTTCCCGTTCCCATTCAAACGCCATCCATTCCCTCCCGTTCCATCCCATGACCGTCTTCTCATCTATTCATACATATATGTATATTAATCACTCTTGCTTCCTTCCTCCAAGGAGGTGAGATCTTCGTGCTTTCTTGAATCCTGATATCTTGTTTTCCTATCTTCGTCTACAATGAGAGACGTGAAGTGAAGTGAAGTGAAGTAGAGTCGAGGTAGAAGAATTGTAAGTTGTAAGGAAGCTCTTTGCAATGCAATGCATTACATGTCTGTAATACATACAAAATCCATACCCATAAAATAAAGCCCATGAATATGAATACACCATGTGTCTATCGATATATATCCTCAACCTCATACATAAATAGGTACGTAGGTATAGATACAAGAAACGAACAAAAGTATCCTCGATGATCATTCAAAATGACCACTTCCACCAATCCATCCATCCATCAATGGATCATAGAATTTGATGCCTAACCAAAACATCCTTTAAAGCTTTCGTATCAAATATCGTATCGTCAGGAATCTGATCAATGATATATGTGAGATTTGCGAACAGATCTCCTTGATTCTTATAGGCGAGAATAGCTGGTACACCCGCATTATCAAATTCTACATCTTCGTAATGGACGCGTACGAAATGAACTGTCGGGTTTGCGGTAACGAGTGGAAGAAGTGCTGAATTAATTACTTGGGAGACGTCACACTGAATATGATATGTTAGTATATGTGTAAGGTAAGAATAGAGAAAGGAAGATAGAAAGAAGACAAACCTCAGGATCATAAACAAAAACCACAACGATGGTTTCTCTTCCTACTTTTTCAATGGCGTCAAGATACCCTAGAGCATCTACCTCGTCAAATCTACCATATCTCCTCACACTAGGACTCGTCCTCCTACTCCTAACATCTTTCTCTTCACTTTGCAACTCCACTCGTCTCTGCTGCCTCCATCTCTCCAAAAACTCCTCATCATCACTCAACCCCTCCTCTGAACCCGAACCCGAAGCCGACCTCGATCTCCTTGCCCCCTGAGTAATTGAGTTCCCATTGCCATTCCCATTCCCCCTCAACTTCCTCCAACCCCCGTCTTCCTCGCCTCCTCAAAACTCCTCGCATCAGCAATCACCCCCTTAACCCCCGTGGACCTCCCACTATCAAAATCCCTATGCGGCAACCTCAACGGTTCACTCAATCCCATCATTCCCCCCGAATTCGACCGGTCAAACAAAGGCATCTTCATATTCTCCTCAATATTCCTATTATGATATTCTTCTTCTTCGTCTATATCGCTGTTTTCCCTATCGAAACTATAATCTCGCTCGTCGTCTGGATGATTGTGATTTTCCCTCGCGGATGCTTTTGCGATGATGGTGTCGAATTCTTCCTGCGCGGCGGTTTTTCCGGCCATCTTGAGAGTATTTATAGGGAAGCAAGGGAGCCACGAGGTCTTGCGTGTGTGGGAGGGTGAAGTGGATGTTTGGGCGCTTGAAGGATGGAAGGATCGCGTGGAAAGATGGTTAAGGTGTGGGTGGTATGGATTGACCTTGTAGGAGCGGGTGATTCCTTGTTGAATTTGAGACGGTAACGCGTGGCTATTTTCAAGGACTCGGATTTCGTTTTCGTCTCTTTTACTTTTTGCGCTGATGATGTAGGTAGGATGTGCGTTGCGGTAAGGTAATGCTAGGTAGGTAGGCTGGGTTAAGCTGAAATTTGGTGGTGCAGTTGATTGAGATTCTTTGTGCAAGGACCTTCTTGGCAGGAAAAAGCCTGGGGAGAATTGGTTGGATCGCTGGGTCTGGCCTGAGATTTGAGATTTGAGATTTGCGATTTGAGACTTGAGACTCGAGACTCGAGACTTGAGACTTGAGACTTGGAGTTATTGATTATGATTTAATAGTTTGTATCAGGCAGAGAGGATCATATAGGAAAAGGATTGTTTCATAATAATTTATTACCACAGAGACATTGGGAACTTCTTTTCCCAATTCTGTTACAATCTGATCTCATTGATTTATCAGCTGGAAACGTCTCACTTTGCTTGGGTTACCTAGCAAACTGTGCTCTTTTGAAGGATGCAAATACAAGGAAAGGATACATACAGCAGAACTTGAGTTGTATATCAGCATCTTCTTTACGTTTTGATGCTATTTTCGATACAGCCTCTTTTCGTGTATTACCGATTGAACTGTAAGGTTACCTGGGAGAAAGTGCATATAAAAATTACTGCATCGTTCCCAATTTGGTCCTTTCCTCGGTGATCGCGATGTTCATGCGCATCATGCTACGCAAATTTGGAGTGGAACCTCCTGATAATGCTAGGATAAGGCACAGCAGAGATCTTTTAAGGCTTAGAGAGAGTATCATCTACAGGGGCCATTCCAAAAACTAATGTACGCTTGGGTCAGGGGTTTTATGTTTACTGGGTTAATGGGTTAATGGGTTAGTGGTCTTCTGTTACATTCGTAGAACAATGCGGGAGAAGGAGAAGGAGAAGGAGAAGGAGAAGGAGAAGGAGAAGGAGAAGGAGAGGGAATGAAGGGTAGGGTAGCTAGGATTCTTGATGTTTGTGTGGTGTTGGATTTATTCATTACATCTTACAGCAATACAACTACATCTAAGATATTTTACCTCGAGCCTGGAATCCTATCATACCGCCACAACACCCTGCTATCAACGATTATCGCCACAGACGCCCTGTATAGTAAATAACGAGGTTGATGTTTCTGCATACTCCTTATCGAATATATTAATAGATATCCTCCAGGATCCCCATATCTTAGTGATCACAGTGATGTCTTGGAAAAGGAATATGCAACTCAATATACCAAAATCAATACTTCCATGGCTTTTCTAGAAGCAAATAACCGTCTGGGATTCCAATCCTCTTCAGAAAAGAAAATATAATGAAAACAAGAAACAAAATCAGTTCGGGTCCTCAACTTCTCCAGGTTCAAGCCAATAACTTTTACACAGCTAATAGTTATCAGGATCGATCTTAAATCATCTTGTTAGGAAAACAGACGATATTCTTGATATTATCCACTTCATAGCCCGAGGTCACTATCAAGTCATAACTCTCCTTCCCCAATATCTCGATCAACCCAAATCTCAATCTAATCTTTCAATTTGCAATCTAATTATCAAACAACCGCCTTAACACCATCTAAATTCTAAACACAGATAGGTATTTAGATCCAAGCTCGAAGATCTAGGTTGCTCATGAGGTAGCTATTGTATCAACTATTTTCTTTTGGTAGCTGTAGATTGCTTAGGATGTCCAAGACCTTCAAGACCTTCAAGACCTTCAAGACTTTGGTTTCAGGTTTCGAATTTCGAGTTTCGAGTTTGGACATTTGGACATTTGGACATTTGGACATTGGTACTTTGATAACAATAAGCCTGTCTGACCTCATCACCTCTAGGTGGTTGGTTCTTGCAAGTTAATCTTACCATCATCGATATCCGTCCGTCCATCCATTTCATCTCATCCCATCCAACCCATTAACCTTAGTATCGGCTATCCCGTCATAACTAAAATACGATATGCGCATAAGCGCATAAGGTAACTGTAGATTTCCAAACTAAGCATCCATACCTAGGCAGGTAGTAAGATCTTGCATGCACTCTCGGACTCGTTCATGTTGCTTTGCAAAAGAAAGCCCTTGTTATGATCTCATCATACTTTCAGTTAAACAATGATATCGTATGCATGACACTGTACTCTAATACTCAATTCTCAAACCTAAGACTTATTTGCATGAATATATATACATAATCTAATCAAATCTCAAAAGAGATACTATACATAACATAACAATCTCCCCCTCATCCCTCATTCCAAACAATTCCCAGCCCCATCCCTTCCCCTCCACAAGGCACAAATCCAAGCACAACAAATAAACAAACAAATCAAAAAGTAAAAACTCTCTCTCAATTTAGCCTACTCAAACCATCGACATCTCAACTTCTAATTATAAATACATGATAAATACTATCAATCGATACTTATTTTATCAAAGATAAAACCGATCATATATCAAGATAGAAATAAAATAAAATCTTTTTATATATATGATTATTTTTAATATATAATTTCTTTAAAACTATTCAATTTATTAATATTTAATCATCTCAAATTTTATTTTATATATATATAATCTTATATTTTTATATTCAATAAAAATTTCATTCTTTATATAATAATCTATATAGAATAATTAATAGAAAAATAAATGAAAATGAAAATATATCATTTTGCTTTAATTTTTATTTTATTTTAAAATTATAAATATTTATATTTATTTAGTCAATCATCTTAAATCTTAAATTCTTCTTTCCTCTCTCGCTCTACTTCTACTTCTCCTACTACGACCCCAAACATCGTGCTCAATACGCAATGCCAACCCAGAATCAATCTCAAATACTCTCGCCTCTTCACCTCCTCCCTGTTTCCCTCCTTCCCTCCTTCCCTCATTCCACCATCTACCCCAAAACCCATCAACCTCCCCACTCTACCATAGCACATCCATTCCATTTCCACATATCCCATCCGATCCATCCATTCAATTCCACCATCCACCAATATATACACATCCACTCCATTTCCACCATCCACCTCTGCTCCTCCCCTTCCAGCTCTCCACTCCATACCTTCTACTCTCCACCTTTTCCCTTCCTTCCACTTCTAAACCTATATGAGTCCTAGCTAAATAATCCCGAATAATCCTACTTTCAAACCTCTCACCTACATATTCTACATATCCAACCATCCCAACTTATACCTGAATCTAAATCCTATCCTCTCCCTACCTATCAGCCACCTCACAACCAAGCTTCTACTCAATACTTTATAGTTACTTACTGTACTATACCTTCCTTACCTTACCATACCACTACCCACTACCTACCCACCCACCTCACAACTCAATAGATAGATTACAAATTACCCAAAAATTTATAGATCCACAAACTACACTTACACTGTCCTCCCCAACTCCCTTACCATTCATCCATACCCACACATCATCCTCGCCCTACCCCATCTCACCATCCAGACATCCATCTATTCACAATCTTACCACCAAAAGACCATCCATCCCTCAACTATTAACCCTTAACTCAATAACCCCCTCAAAACAAGAACCATCAAACAAACTCCATAAAATTCACAAACTCCACAAACCTACAAAATTCACAAAATTCACTCAACTTCCCACCCAATAAACAGCCAGGCCAAGTCAAGCCAACTTGAGACAGGACAAAATCTAAGCATTCCTAGATATTCTAGATATTCTAGATATTCTAAATAGAATCTTTAAATATCTAATAGTAGTAGGTAGTAGTATCAATACAAAACGCCATTTTACCACTTGCACATTCCAACATTCCAACTTCCTACGCAGACTCCCATACACCTATCAAACCTAACCTAACCGAACCTCTGATACCTAATCAAACTTCTTAAAACAAAATTATCACTATTCACCAAAGAGAAGAAGAAAAAGACAAGAAAATGAAAATGATAAAAAAGACATATCTATCAAGGGCATTATTAGACTATAATACAAGCTTTGTGTAGAACCGACGCCAGATTCAATAGTTGTTAAAAGTTTGTTGCAGTGATACCTGCCGATGCATTACAGAGCCTGGGTTATGAGTCTTTCCCTCCATAAAACTCCTCTCTTGTTCTTCATCATGCCTAACCGACTTCAACATCACATATACCAAATGTATCATCTGGAGGTTCACTTTTGAAATGTCAATCCAGTTTATCAAATACCACACACAATATATTGTGAGAAACTCTGTCGACTTCGAAGTTCATCACTCCCTTCCCCTTATCCTTATTCTTCTCCTCCCCCTCCTCCCCCTCCAGCCATATAACCGCCCCTCGAAGATTTTGATAATGCAAAAAAAGAAAGACACGGAGGAAGAAATTTGGAAGATGTAGTGTGTGTGTGTGAGAGTGTAGTAAAGTTGAAACCAAAAGGTTTCTCCAGGATATCGTCGCAAGGTCCCAGTGCTTAAGAACGCTGATGAAAAGCAATGCAATAGGACCTCCCATAGAAACAAGAACATCGAAATGAAGAATTATTGTGCACAGAATCTGAGATGCGCAGCTTTGTTGGGTCCCTTGTTTTAATCGGGAAGGACCATCTCTGTCGCTTAAGTATAAGGGAGACTGTTATAAAGACTTCGACCAATCTATGTCGAAAGTCACGAATATTAAAGAGTCGTATTTGGGAGGTGATTAAGTAAAAACGAAGTGCCAGTTGAAAATGACACCGCATGCGACGAGAATTCGTTATCGTCGAAATAATAGGCCAGATCTACATGGCCCAAACCTTGAGCTGGAAGTGGGAGTAAAATATTGTAAGTTATGTGGACCAGAGTTTGAGCTGAAGAAAGAAATGGAAAAGTTAGTTTGAAAAAAAGAGAAAGGAAAACGAATAAAAAAGTTATTTCCACTCACCAATGAATCCCATGATCCAGTGCACAAACTCATTCCATCGTTACTAACACCCAAACAACTGACACGGTTGTCATGGCCAACCAGTGATCCAACCTTTTCGGCACGAGTGATATCCCATACCTAGAAGAGAGGTTAAAATCATAGTCCTTTGAAGGAATGAGTAGATTTATAATGACTTACCTTGCACTCGAAATCATCATAACCAGCAAACAACAGTCTACCAGATACAGAGCAGGCAACAGATGTGATCCCACAGAGGATGGACTCATGCTAGACATTGTTAGTGACAAATTTATGGGACCTGAAAGGTAAAGACCTACTCCATATTGGTTGAGTTCTCTATCAGCACGAATATCGAAGAGTCTGCAAGTAGCATCATCGGAACCGGTGACAAATGAGTGTCCATCTGGGAAGAATTGGATGGCGTTGATATCTGATTCATGTCCTGCGAAAGTTTGAACAGCCTTGCCGGCACGAACATCCCAAAGTTTAGCAAACGCATCGCAAGCACCTGAAACGAATGTATTTTGATTAGTTGGGTTTATACTGATGCTCATGACATCACCCAAATGATCTGCGAACTCGGTGACCTTTGATCCTGTTTCGACATCCCACTTCATACATGTCATATCTCCGGAAGATGTAAGGATAGCTCGGTCATTGATGAATCGACAGCAAGATAGGTATCCAGAATGTCCAGAAAGTTCCCTGGCAACCCGCGTAGGTCCATCGCGATTGGAATTTAAGTTATAGATGGAACAAATGTTATCCAATCCACCACAGGCGACGTAGTTACCACTTGGTGCATAGGCACAAGTCATGACCCATGAAGATCTTAGAGGAATGGCGTGAACCTTGTTCGTTGTGTACGCATCCCAAATAATTAATTTACCATCTTGCGATGCTGATACCAAATGCCTTCTATCCGTCGACCAGTGCATTGCATAAATCTTTGCGAGATGTCCTTTTAATGTCTTTCGAGTCTTTAACATTTGATTCTTTGGTAAAGCTTCTTGCTGAGCCCTCGCAAGGTTCATCACTGTAACATGAATAATTAGCATACAATCGCAGAGATCAACAACATTTGCCGATGAAACCGAAGATCGTTGTGAAAGCTGAAATATGATTAAGTACTCACACGTTGCGTCTGCCAAATCATCCTTCTTGCGCTTTATCCTATCCTTTAAGGATTCTGCTTCACGACGAGCCTGCTGAATACGCGACTGCATCGCCTCTGGCGATACATCGTTCGACGACATCTCGGTCAGTCTAATGGATGGTATCAATTGCGATGATATCTCAGCTCGATAATTATCGTAGTTGTTTCAATTGTCGATGAGGCCGTAGGGGGTTGCGACCAAGCGGAGGATAGCTTCCCGAGTTTGTTGGTTGACAAGAATGAAATTGGCTGAGTGTAAGCAGTTCAGCTATCGGAGGGTATTAAGGAATTTGTCGCCGGTTTGGTATCAATTGGGTATGCTTGGGGCGGCTGGTTGTTTATGGTAATTGCCGGGGGGTTTATTAAAGGTCTCTCTTCTTTGTGTGAAATGAATAAAATGGGAAGTATATCAAAGTAATGGGGACAAACTTCTTTGCCTTCTTGATCAAATTGTGGAACAAGAGTTTGTATGGAAGGGAAGGGAAGGGATCCTCTGCTTGGGGTTTGATGGGTTGAGGAAAGTTGAGGCAATCTTGAACGGGATTGAGAAGGATGATTTGATTTAGAAGGTACAGTAAGGTAGCGCAAGTAACACCCAGTTATTTGCGTTTCTTTTTCTCGCTTAATGATCCTATAACCTGGGATTTACTTGGGTTTGATGGCGCTAGCAGCTCTGTTTTGGGTCTGGGCTAAATAAAAAGCAGAGTAAGAAGGAAGCCGGTGGGAAAATGGCAAGAATTGGTTTAGTGGAACTCAAAATTAATAATGGGGAAAAGAGATTTTGAGAAGGAGATAATAGTTACGAGAAGGAGAAGGAGGGAAGGAAGGAGGGAAAGGAGGAGTAAATGAAAAAGTATAAGAGAAGTTTGACTGTTATAAGGATATGAAGTGAATAGAGAGTAAGATAACAAGTAGGTAAATAATATAACCCCAGGTGAACGAATCACTAAAGTAACTAATCAAGTAAATAAACCAAGATAAACCAGTTAATAGATGTAACCCAGATCAAAGCAAAAGGCAACTTCCTTCAATAATAATCCATCCAAAATTATAGATCAAACGAATCTATCATTCTTTCCGGAATGAATATCTCAGGTGGGTTGGAAAAAGAAGTAGAAGACGAGTTCTTAGTGAGTAGATACCGGTACTTTCGTAAGATACCTACTCCGTGCTGCATAAAGGTATCATCAAGCTTGGGAATATCAATTGAATTACGGATATGTAATCAAATTATGAAAGTTATCAGATTGATTTGTCTACCTACTTAGTTACTCCCCAAGGTATGTGAGATGTTCTAAATATTACATATATAATTACAAATATTACAAATATTACAAATATACACATATTGGATGACATAAAAAAGGAGAATGGGGAGATTAAAATGACGATAACCAAAATACTAAAGGACCTAGTTAGGTACTAGGGACTAGGTAAGCTACAGGAACGCCGAGGTAGGTACTCGAGTGGAAAATAACAGCTAGCAGTACATCGATTTCAGCAAGGTGTTTCTTCAAAGAACTACTGTAACTTCTGTAGCTACGTAACAACAACACTAACTGCCCGGACCTAAGTTAGTACGAACTATACCGTTGATAAATTGACTTGTACCTGCTTTCACTACCCTTCTACGCTTCTACCCATCTACCCATCTACCCATCTATCGAACCACGGAGTATATGCTTGCTGCGGCATCCATAAAATAAATACTAGGGAATTAAAAGATCTACCACCATTATCTTATCTAACCTACCGTACCATACTTCCTACCCACCCGACACCTCCGTAGTAGTCCGTACACATCTCACACCGGCACCAGCCTCAAGAAGGAGAAAGGCATGTCGTTATTATCTCCTTGACTACTCCCCAAGGTTACCCCAAACATGATATCTTGAATACTATAGGAGGAGAACACGAAGAAGGAGAAATCAAGTTACCTTTGCGGTATTATCTTGCATCCATCCATCCTGCAAGTCGCAGCATGGTTCAATCGGTGGGTCTCTCTCTTAATTGCAGATGCATATTGATCAGCAGGGCGCAAATATGGTAATTAGATCTAATGCTTCTCCAGCTTTTCAACTTGCTGTCGACTAATGACAAATGTTGACCTATAGGATCAAGAGCGCATCTAAAAGATGCATCATTCGTACAACACCATATTTCATCGTCGTATCGATCAATTTGTTGGTAAGGTCAAAGGGTCCCAAACTTGACCTCGATTGCGTTTGCGTACCAAATATTGCACGGTGGGGAATTTCTTTTGCTTCCCGTTCTCTCTTAAGTTTCGACTAGGATGAACATCGGGGACTTGATTTTAAATAATCAAGCAATAAGGTCGGTCGGTCGGGGACGGGGATTGTGATAGCGGGCTCTATTAAATTCCCCTGGTTAAATCATAATACAGTACAGATACTCCGTAATAATCCAATTATCTTCTCATTTTGGTGTCCTGGAGTGTCTTTTTTTATTCAAGATCCGATATATCTAAGAATCTTTTGGTTTGACGCGAGATAGGAAGACCTTTAAGAAATCTTCTCCGTCTGTCTCATCTATCCATTCTATCCATTCTATCCATCAATCCAATCCATCCATCCATCCATCCATCAATCCATCAATCCATCAATCCATCGACTTTTAACGGTATCACATCGCGCAATTGAGTCTGTTACCCCTTCATCTACCGCAATACACACCGCACAGGGACTACGACGACCTCCAATTAGTTTAGACCCAATTTTTAAAGATTAACAAGCTCCGTCGGCTCCATCAAGTGCGCAGCAAGATAGATCACAGGTAATCTCGCTGCTCTTGGTATTTTACCTGCACGGAGTGGTTTTGCTTGAGCTTTTACCAGGAACCGATCACAAAAAGAACGAATGAACCGTTTTCTATCAATCCTATTATTGGCAGAAGAATCCATAACTCTTTCATAATATCCACTTCCCATTCGCATTATGCAGAGTGGAGAATCTATAAGTACGAATTCAGTTATCTACCGATTCTCAGATTAGAAGATCTCCCGAAGTCGAGTTTCTTCATTTTAATTGGTCAGTAGTAAGATTGGTCATCAGGGTATTACTGGACACTAGTTAATAGTTGCTGCATCAAACAAGTGCTTGCAGCCGTGAACTTCAAACATTCAAGGGAAACATCACGACACCAAAACACCATATTTGAAAGCAAGCCGAGGAATTTAACTCTAGACCCAGTTCCAGTCTCTTCATCCAAGACAAATTCTCAAGATCATTCTCGAGCAATGGATTCATCAAGCTCAGAAATCATTGATTTTACATCCTTGCCAAAAATTGAAGTAAGTTAGTTCTAAATGGTACATGCATATTTCGTGTTGTACATATTTTAATGTCCGTCCAAAACCCGACGATACTGTTACTCCAACTACCCAGCCGCATGAATAACATCGATATAAGGCTGAGAGAAATTTCTTACTTAGTTACATGCCCATCTAAGTGGAAGTATCAGTCGACAATGTCTTCATGAAGTATGGCTTCAGAAAAAGGAAAGGGGTGAGACTACATTGGAAGATCCGTTAGTTGAGATGCCGGATGGTAAATTCGATTATGATCTTGAGACGTGAGTGATGTTTATTTCATTTATTGCTTTTCTTCTTCGGAACTATGGGACAAGCAAACAATTGTTCGGATGAACGAAATCCTGAGTTCGGGAAAGCCATGTGCTGGGATAGTAGTCTTTTCGCAGGCTATCAGATAGTCGGACTGCATTTCAATACCGATAAGTTTTTGATTCTTGGGTCATTTAAAAGAGTTAGATTATCTGAGGTCGAGTCAATGAATTCATTCGAATAATTAATCGCTCCCATCATTTACAACTTTTCCAACATTCGAAGCTGTTCGACATTAGAAGTTTGAATCTTCTACCAGTTCAGACATTTACATGTACCCCGCTTTTCACACTTCACTACCCAGCATGTCTCATTATATCTTTTCAGATTCTTCCCACTATTCTCCAAGTACATCTATGAACTCTGCAACGATCTTTCCTCTTTAATCTACACCACCAACTCTGTTCTTTCAGATTTCCAAGCCGATGGCGTAGTATACCTCGAATTACGCACCACACCTCGAGCCATCCCTTCAGCTGGCATCACCAAAGATATCTACATTCAAACAATCCTCGACTGCATCAATAAACACAACAATGCAAATCCGTCCATGAAAACACGTTTGATCCTCTCCATCGACCGACGAAACGATGCTGAAACAGCAATGCAAGTTGTGAAACTAGCCCATAAATATCATTCCCAAGACCTAGGAATCGTAGGAATCGATCTTTGTGGCGATCCCTCCGTAGGCGATATAAGTATATTCGAAGCCGCCTTCCGCGTCGCTCAAAACCATGGCATGAAAATCACGATACATTTTGCGGAGATAAAACAAGTTTCGACGAAGGAATTAGAAACGCTTTTGGAGTTTAAACCGCATAGGATAGGTCATGTGATATACGTACCCGAAGATCTGAAACGGGAGGTTGAAAGATTGGGCTTGGGCTTGGAACTTTGTTTGAGTTGTAATGTGCATGCGAAGATGATTACGGGGTCGTTTGGTGATCATCATTTTGGGGAGTGGTGGGGAAGAGAGGGAAAGTGTTCCGTGGTTTTATGTGTATGTGTTGTTTCTTTCTCTTGTTGTTTTGATCATCCTTTTTTTGTGTCTGCGTGGTATTCTCTAGAGGGGATTTATATTAATATATCTTGAGATTGCATATCCTCTCATTACATGAAAATACTAACACTAACAATAATAACAATAACAGACAGATGACGTAGGAGTCTTCGGAAGCAAACTTTCGGATGAATACGCATTAGTAGCTAAACATTTCAACCTTAATCGAAAAGATATTTGTAGATTGGCACGAAATGGAATTGAAGTGATTTTTGGGAGTGAAGAGGATAGGGGATGGTTGAGGGAAGTTATGTGGAGGGAGTAGTGGCTGGAGAGATTAGATTTCAAGAGTTGCAATTTTGTAGATATTGTAGAATAGTAGAACGAGAATCTGCTTTTAAACTCCAGGCTCTAGATTTGAAGGTTTTAAGATATATGTATCGGTATTATACTGAAATGAACTTTGTAAGTGAATGGAATTAGAATTTAAGGAGTATAAGATTATAATGTTATGATATTGTTCGGGTGAAAAACATGTAGATATTTGAACAGGATAAAGATAGGGATACTATAAATCATGTCCTGGGAACTTCATTTTTGTATTTCTAGAATTGTATATATATACATGTTAAGATTATATTATGTTATGTATCGATGTGTGAGAGTTGATTATGAGTTGAGTTGGGGATTGAGCGGTTGGGTTTAGGGATAGATGCGGGTGGTGATGGGGATGGGGATGAGAGTTAGATGGGGATGGGAAAGAGAATGAGTATAAGAATTAGGATAGGCTTTTTATATTTATAGTTAGTGAGGGTTAGGGGGGAGGAGGGAGGGGGGTTTGGAGTGGATGATTGAAGTGATATGAGGTGAGTGAGGTGAGTGATGTGAAGTGATTCTTGAGTAGTATCATTAGCTTAATCAGTCGTTTGAACTGTGTAAAGAGTTTAGATTTTCTTGAAGGGGGAAGGAGGACTTTGGTATTTTGGTGATGGGGTGAAATAGAATGGGAAGGCAGAGGTGGAAATGGAAAGGTGGAAATGAAGGGGATTTGGGCTTGGGGTGCGAAGTGGAATGGAATGATAGAACCCTGTGACAAGATAATAGAAAGGTATTATAATATAAGTGAAATGCTGGACTAAAGATAGGAGAGGGGATGTTGGAAGGTGTATAAGACAAACCGAGATTTTGAGTAGAAGAATATAATTAATTGAAATATAAATAAATAACCTTATAAATTAATCTTTTAATAACTTGATTAAATATCTGAAAAATTAATATACAAAAATATAAAATTATAAAATTATAAAATTATTCAGTTATAAAATTATAAAATTATTCAATTATAAAATTATAAAAATAATATTTATTACTTTAATATTTTATAAATCATCGATAATCTTTCTCTTTGTAATATTTAAATAAAGATAATATGAATTTTTATTAAAGGGTTAATGTCACAGGAATATTCTATATTATAACGATCTGATCGAGGCAGCAGCTGCCTGAGGTTCTGTCACGATTCACGGTTTTCATTATAGTAGTATTATTGATATCGGTGATTTATATGCCGACTACAGGGGGGGTGTGATTTAATTGTTGTTTTCGGGGGTCCTGATTATTTAAGCTTAGAACTCTAGGATTCCTAGGATAAGTATCCTAAGCAATTATAGTAGAATAGGATAAGTGTTCTATCTAATTGGTTGTAATGGGACTATCATCTTAGAGGTTATCGTATCCTAAAGCTATAATTCCTGAAGGGAAAGCTTTTGGGACAAATGTTCCAGGAAAGGAAAGGTTTTGGGATATGAAAGGCTTTAGGATCAATCATGTAATGTGCTAGCTTCGCTAGCTAGCTAGCTAGTATAGCTAGCATACAAGAAAGAGATTAGTATATAGTCAGAATAGTTTCATAGTTTAAAAGTTTTGTGCTCAACTTAGTTATCAATTAGTTTATTTATATTTTAATTGATCTAGTAATGTATTCATCTTCGAATAGTGTTACAGGGTAACAATCAACCTGTCCACATGAGCTTAGGCCCTATCGAAAAGCAAGGCGATTTGCATACAAATTTGTATGGTAATCGCTTTATGTGGTCTCCCCACCTTTAGCAAGCTCGGATATATAATCTGATCGTAATCATATGATAGATTATAGGATCTAGAGGATTTAAAGAATCATATCCTAGATCTATTAGATCCTTATAATTTAATTAATAAAAAATCTATATAGTTAAAAAAGGATTCCTTTTGTAAAACTTTATATTTAAAATCAATCATTTAATATATTCTATTATTAATTATAAATTGCAATTATTGATATTATTTTAAAGCCTTTATTTGATACCTAATTATAAACCATTCAAAGATCTAAACCATTTTCATATAATCTAGATCGCAATCCTTGTAACACTTTAAGCATCATTATTACTTCAAGTATCGATTCAATAGAATAATATCATATCTTCTCAAACCCCCTAATCTAACAATCCAATTTCAATTATTTCAAGAAATATAAATCAAAATGAAGATATCGTTATGAAAAAAATAAAAGATCCCCGAAAGATCATTATCACTGAAATCCTTAAAATTGTTTTACTCGATAAATTTATAGATTATCGATAAGAATTGGAAACTTTTCTATTCCAATTTGAGATTTATTTCGAATTCAATAAGGATAAGTTTTATTACGATATCGATAAAAGCATTTGGGTTGTCTTCTACCTTAAAGGAGAAACCTTTAAATGGATTCAATTTTATCTTAAGGATTATTTTATTCATTTGAATGATTCTAAGAAACGAATATATTCAATATAAATCATCTTTGAGATATTCGTTGAATTCAAAAAGGAAATACAATAGGTATTCGGAAATATCAACGAATTATACGATACTGAATCTAAGATTTATAGCTTCAAACAAATAAGATCAATAGTGAAGTACGCTGTGGAATTCAAATGATATATAGGTATTATAGAATAGGAAGAGAATATTATAATAAACTATTATAGAAAAAGGCTCAAGGTGAAGATTAGATTAGAATTGGATTGCAATTGTATTTGAGAAGATCTGAACAAATTAATCGAAGAATTGATCAAAATGAATAAAATACTTTACAAATATCAAAGAGAATATCGATTCTTCAATTTCTATAGGAATTGAGATTATAGTAAGTATTATAAAAACAAAGGAAGATTTCGAGATCATTAATAATCGTATAAGGATCTAATATAATTGAATATAATCTTTAAAAATAAATTATTTAAAAAAGAGGTAGATTGAAGATGAAAGAATAAATTATGTTTTAAATATAATAAATCGGATTATCAATTCAAGAATTATCGAAATAGGAAATTATAAGACTAAGAAAAGTATTACAAAAAAGTTAGATTCAGAAAAAACCAATTCAATGTTATCTTTGTATCCTTATTATTTATGTTCGATATAATTGAAAACAATAACTACAAACGAAAATAACATCAAAAGGAAATCGATATAATACTTTGAAATCAAAAAGACTTGAACAAAATAGATCGATATGAATTGAAATATCTTTAAACTCTATTATCTTTTTTGATTAGGAAAAACCCAAAAGAAATATTATCGGCAGAATATATAATAATAAATTAAATAGTTTATTATAATAATTCCTATAAGATTTATTTATTAGATAAAGAAATTATAAGATAATTTCCTTATAAAAGAAGAAGAAATATTTCGTTATATAATTATCAAAATAATCAATTATATAAAATTGACCAAATCGATCAAATTGATCAAATTGATCAAATCGATCAAATTGACCAAATCGACCAAATTGATCAAATTGATCAAAACAAGGCTATAAACCAGAGACAATTAAATATTATAGATCAAATAGAATAGATTTATTGTAATATCAAAATAAATGAATAAAAAATCCAAACTATGATTGATTTAGAAATTATAAAGAATTTTATTGTATTAGGAATTGTAAAGTATTTAGGGATATAGCTTTAAGCGAAATAGATTCTATATTAATTGTAATTAGTTGATGGATAATTAATAGAATGTTACGAGGGATGTGATCTAGATCATGTGGAAGTGGCCTGGATCCTCGAATGGTTTATAACTAGATGTCAAACAAGAGCTTTAAAATAATATCAATAGTTGCAATTCGTAATTAATAGTAGAATATATTAAATAATTAATCTTGAGTATAAAGTTTTACAAAAGGAATCCTTTCTTAATTATATAGATCTTCGTATTAATTGAATTATAAGAATCTAATAGATCTAGGATACGATTCTTTAGATTCTTTAAATCCTATAATTTATTATATGATTACAATCAGATTATATATTCGAGCTTGTTAAAAGTAGGGAGATCATATAAGGCGATTACCATACAAATTTGTATGCAAATCGCTTTGCTTTTCGATAGGGCCTAAGCTCATGTAGACAGGTTGATTGTTACTATATAATATAGAATTGGATAATAAGATTTTGTAGAAGATTTATCTAATATAGATAAATATAATTCAATATAAAGAGATTATTTAATTCGATGTTGTTTTGTTAGAGAATCAATAGATCATTTTAGAAATGTTATAATTAAAAATATATAATTCTAGAATCAATTAAGTTATTGAAATTATAAACTTTTTAAACAAAAGTAATCATTATAATATATTAAAGTTTATAAAGTTGAATATATATAATAAAGAATTGAAAGCAAATAATATTATCGATATAAAATATTTAATTTAAGGTTTTTTATTAATAACAAAAAAAAATGAATCTTTTGTATAAATAAAGAATAAACAAAAGGAATTGTTTAATATTATTTTTATATAAAAACAGAAAAGAATATTAATATTAATATAATATCAAAGATACAAAAAGTTATTTGAAAAAAGAAAAAACTATAAGGCTTTATCAAAATATAAGTTATAAGATTATAAGATAATATTAAAAAAAGACAAAATGTTTCTATTCAGATCAATTTATTAGATATCGGAATTGGAATTAAGAATATTTAGAGAATATATCGATGATATATTAAAAAAGACTTGGATTAAAGAATCAATTTTATAAATAGTTAGTTTTGTATTATATATATTCAAAAAAGATAATATTAAAAGATTATATATAAATTATTGTAAATTTAATAATATAATAATTAAGAATCGATATTTATTTTTATTAGTTATAGAATTAAAGAATCGATTAAGAAAAGTAAGGATTTTCTTCAAGTTTGATCTAAAGAATAGATTTTATTTAATCAGAATAAAGAAAAATAAAGAATAGAAAACAATATTCAGAATTCGATATAAATTATATAAATATTAGATTATACTATTCGAATTAATTAATATATCAATAATATATTAAAGAAATATTTGGATATTTATTATATATACTATT